TTTCATTTAACATTTAATATTTATACATAATGGAGGCCGGTTCAGAAATATATCACTAAAGATTGAGCAAGTGATTCTTGACGGAAGTTCTATGTTGGAGAAAATGTTGATGTTCATTAAAAATGGTATAAACAAATCGTGTTAATTCTGAGGCCTCTGGGATCAGGATATTTCGCAACTACTTATTTCCTGGTAAAATATACAAAACTGTCGTTATAGGAGACAGTTGATGTATTATCGGATTAATTTATTTTTTCATAATAATGACTAGTTGACTGAATTGACATGAATCTGTGGCTTTTCAATTTTCATTTTTATGTACTTCATGTACATTTTGTCATGTAACGTCGAATACCGTCACTGCGATCTGTTATGTGTAGCACTTGAACAACACAAGCCAGTGATTGTTATTGTAAGCAACGATTATGACATGACATGATATCGGCCAAGACAATATGTATGTACATGTATATTGTATTGTACATTATCCTGCCTCAATTATATCTCTCCGATGCCTTCTTGGTGTATATGTGTATATAATGTTTTTCCAGTTCACTCATGTACCACCGTTGGTGGAAGTTGAGAAAATAAAAACCTTCGAACCTTCGAACAATGATCCATTAAGTTGTCTTACAGCACAGATTGGTGAGGAGCTCGTGAGAGGCAACTAACGGTATCGGTGTGAGCTCGCTGACTTGGCTTATGCATGCCATGTTTCCCAGTTGAGTAGATCGATGGTGTCAATAAACAAAAGTTCACCGTTGGAGTGTGTGAGTGAGTGAGTTTCCAGCAATATCACGGCAGGGACCACCAGAAAGGGGCTTCACACAATGCACTCATGTGGGGAGTCGAACTCGGGTCTTTGGTGTAACCACTTGGCTACCTTGGCGACCTCACCGAGGGAAGAATAGCCTACGGTTTGTCGACTCATGCTACAGAGTAGCCAAACAGCAACGTCCTGGCCACTGATGGCAACATGGGACGCCACAGACAAATAATGTAGAAACATGTTGTTATTATGAATAAAAACAATCGGAGAAATGTAAATTCCTGATTGGCTTTAAAACATGAAACGACTAAAATGTATGATAGACAACTTTCCATCATCCCGATGGTTATCCGTGTATATAGTAGATAAAGAATATCCGTGAGTGATACGATCGATTGAACGGTGATTCTGATCGAACGAATCTGAAATAATTTGTGTTGCCACATTCACCTATATTTCAGCAATATCACGGCAGCCTTATAAAATACCGAGTCTGGACCAGGCAATCCAGTGATTGGCAATCACCAATAATCGAGCCTGTGTATAATAAAGACTGGGTTGAACAAACCAATGGTTGATACCATAAGCATGTCGATGTACTGTGCCACACAAACAGGTCACAGGGAGACTGACCATTAGACATCTATTTCAATCGACTGTTACAAGCATATTTACTGCGAACCTACTCTGGCCTGCGCCGGGAAGTCACGATCTTAATCTGGATACGCTGATGTTGTTTTGGTAATATACTGTAAACGTGTACACAAAAACAGTGGATGCTGGAGCACAGGTGTGGTTGCAGCTCTGTGGTCATGGTCGGGGAAGAAAGTGCACCTGGAGACGAGAGTAACATGAAAGGGCTTCAAAGCAGCTTCAAAGGGGTTGTAGGCACGGCCTATACCGTATTGGAAAGGGGGTAATGAATTAATGATGTGAAGTAAAGTTGTAAATCTAGTTTTGATACGGAAATGTCAACAACCTGTCCAATGCCTGGGTCTTCCATCACCAAGTGCGCGGTTTGGAAAGCGTTCGAGCTTAACGGAGATTAGCTTAACAGGTTGATTGAGGGGATGGAGAGCGGACATTTAGAGTTAAATGGCATTCTATGGATGAAACAACGAGGGGAATTCTATGGATGTACAAGTTGGTGTGATTAAACGGTCCCCGAAGTTGTATATCCATATATCCATATATTACTCTCCTCGTTGTTTTATCAGAGAATACTAAAAATATTGGGGGGTTCCATAGGGGTGAAAGCATATCTAGTATATTTTACGACGCTTCTTTCTCGATGTTAGCGTATCGCTCTCTCGCACGAACGTAGGCACTAACAAACAAATAAACAAAGCCACGATTGACTTGCATCGAGTAAGTACACTAAGTTATCCCGTACCGCACGTCTTCAAGGTTTCAACAATTTCCCTAAAACCATATTGGAAAACAGAAAAACTAAATCAAACTGCAAAGATGATATTTAAATGTATAGTCGAAAACTCTGGGTCACAATGTGGGTTGAGAATGGGACAGTACGTGACAGAAAATAATGTGTTTTATGCTAACATACTATAGAAGCTAAACGTATCTTTAGAAAAAAGACACCGTCAATGTAAGCAAAGTCTCATAGATGATAGACTGAAAGAAATCCATCAGGCAGCGGAAATAGACGTACATGAATATTTTAAGCTTACAAATAGGTATAAACGAGCAGCAGGTCTAGTAACCAGTATAGTATACAAATATCATGCAGGCAATAATGCAGAAAATATCTGTAACACTTTTGGTCAATACTTCAAGGATCTATCTGTACCAAACTTGGAAAGTAGCTTTGATAATCACTTTGCTGGAGAAATTGAGCGCTGAATACCAAATATTGAATGTCTTGAGAAAAGTACAAATATATGTGAAGGAGACATGTATTCACCGCTGAATGAACTATTCACTCTCAGCGAGATTATAGCCGTCCTCTAAAGGCTACAAAATAACAAAGCCCCAGGGCCCGATGGACTCGCTAATGAACATGTCAAGTTGGCAGGTAGTTCCCTCATAAAGCATATCATGATATTGTTCAACAATATCATCACATACGAGTACATTCCACTAGCTTTTAATGTTGGCCACATTCTGTCCCTGCATAAAGGCCACTGTAAAAGTAAAGCTGACCTCTCCAACTACAGGGGAATAACATTAACGTCGATTCTCAGTAAACTGTTTGAAAGATTGCTCCTTAACAGAATTGAAAAGTGGACAGCTGAAAATATAACGTTTCTCACACAACTTCCAAGTTGGCTTTAGAAATGACATCAGTGCTGAGACAGCAGCTCTCACACTTGTAGAAAGTATTGCATACTATGACGAAAAAGATTCACCTGTCTACTGTGCTTTCCTTGATAACGAGAAAGCATTTGACCGTGTTTGGCTTGACTGTTTATTCTACAAACTCTACAATCTTGGAATTACTGGAAAACTCTGGCGGATACTACGCCTATCTTATAGTTCAATGCATTCATGTGTAAGTTTCGCTGGTTTTAAGTCCGATCTATTTCACATTAGACAAAGTGTGGGCCAAGGTCGTGTTTTGTCTGCCTGGCTATTTTCTCTCTATATATATAAATGATCTACTACATGAACTAAATGATACTGGCTGCGGTCTGTGTCTCCCTTGGGGGAAATGCCCAGGAATACTGCTAGCCGATGACACAACGTTGCTCACCAATAATCCAACAGATCTCCAAAGACTGTTGAAGGTGACTGAACTATATTCAAATAAGTGGCAGCTAAAATACAATGTTGGTGAAAGCGCTACTGTAACCTTTGGACGTAGCAATGCATCCCTACCTGCTAACCTGTATCTTGGAGAAACTAATCTCCCTATTAAATGGTCTGGAGTTTATGCTGGATCATTACTACTAAGTGTTCTATGGAGAGAACAAAACTTGTTTGTGAATAGCTACGAAAATTGATAAATGTGAACTATGACTCTGGCCTCTACTTTGGCGGTTTGAATCCTCTAGTGGCTGTACGTATTTGGAATCGAGTGATTCTACCTTGCGGTTTGTATGGATGTACAGTTTGGGGCAAATTGTCCCTTAAAGAATATGAAATGCTAGAAATCATCCAGCGCTACTTCTGTAAGAAATTCCAAGGAGATACAGTCGGGATAACATCCTAACAAGGATATATAGATCAACAAAGCCTCTTACTCCTTGGTAAACTCTGTAATGCTAATACAAGATACAGCTTTAAACAAATGTTTTTAGCCCGCCTTGGCCAATACCACTGCAAAGAATCACTGATATACAAGAATAAGTTTAATATGATATCACCTGTTTTAACATGTTACGGCTTGTTTCCAAACACAATCTGCTTAGTAAAATCCATAACTACATTTGTGATTCTAAGTTTATGAAGAAAAATGCTTGGTCGCAACTAGTCAAATATAAGGTAACTACATATGATCAAATGCAGTTGGTAAATGTACTGCAGACAAGGTGTCTCTCTCCAGATATCTAACAATAAGATCAGGACGAGAATATAGACTATGGATACTCGCTTTAGAGCGACCTCAGAACTTCACTGACATTGCGAGAATGATAAGGCTTGGTGCAACTCCAATAGAATCAAAGGAATGTCTATGCGGAACAGTTGCTCACGACATTATGAAACATGTTTTGTCATGCCAGTATAACCCATTCTCTTCCCACAGAGGTTACTCCTGTCATATCTTCCTACGTAACGTAAGATATGACAAGTAACCTCTGTGGGAAGAGAATGGTATAACTTAGTAGAAAGGAATTCTCTATTTGAAAGAATCTGTGACATTCTTGACATAGACATTTTTGTTAAAATGTGGATGGAAGAGGATGATGTATTCCTGTCATTCCTCCTCGGAGGTATACCTGACCACTGTAAAGATGTACTGGACTATAATGTTTGGTCAGAACTGATGGTAATGATTAGTTTCTCTGTTCGCAGTTGTAGAGGATACTCCGGCAATGTTCATAAATACCTTCAGTTCTTTCACAATTGAATATTACTGTATAATATAAGTACTAATAGTTAGAACCTTTTCTGTACTGTTGTTTATCACACAAATGTAATCTTCATTTTATGGAGGAAATAAAGAATATCTATCTATCTGTACATTACTTACTGATAAGTCATAGCTAAAATAGGCCAGTTACAATCTATCTTTGCAGATTTGTATCCAACAAAAACATAACAAAAGACATTGTTCCATTTGAAAATACTATTTATTATCAACACAGACTTTATATACACATGGTAAATAAATAGTATACATGTACAACATGAGTTATCACACAATGATGATGAAGATGATGATGACAATAATGACGATCCTGACTTTGATTTCATTCGGTGGGACTAAATCAAAACTTCTTCAAAGAAATGTTGAATTGAGTCTATTCAACGGAAACATTCCCTCCCATTCAAGATCATCCCTGACTGATGCCCAAATCAAATTCACACTTCTTGGGTCCCTGAAAGGGAAATTTCTGAGATCCAATTTACACATAAAATCAGTCGTTCTGATAAATGTCACATGTAAATGCTAGTAATGTCCATAACATATCTTGAATGATTCCCGAAACAACAACAACAAATACTATGACATCCTTCTGATCTTGGCATAAAATAGTACAATGTATCTCTGAGACTAGTCAAAATCTACAATACATCTGTAGATTTATGAAGCCACATGAACCAGATAGATCAACTCCTTGACTGGGGTCACCATAACATCACATCTGAATTATATTCTTAACTAACAACATATTCCACATACAGAGAGCACCTGTAACAGTGTGAACCTCAACATCCACTTGTTAAATGTTGACATCATTACAAATTGTTTAACCCAGTAACTCTGCCAGTCTAGAAACATGTACCAGGATTCACAACCTGACTCACAGAAAGTGTACATGAAAATGTACATGTTTCATATTAATCTTGCTATATTTAACCTGACTGACAAAGCAAGTAACTGAAATGCCCAGTATGTTTCAGTCAACTTTATACCTCACTTTTGTTTTTTGATAGAAATAACAAGCATCTCAGTTAAATGTTTTATTTAAGAGTTTTAGCAATCACAGCATTCATAACTGTACTGAGTACATGGAATACACCATTAACACTGATCCAGCCAGTAACATGTAACATTGTTACATAGTGTGTAACCAGTGCACTGCATATGTATCAGTTCCACAAAACAATAAGAAGGTAAATGAGACAAGCATCACTTCAAAGCAAATTACAACCAAATGCTGATCTTTGCATAAGCTTAAAATATTTAATATATCTTATCCACTCAACTTTTGACAGGGATGTTATAATATTTTTCTTGATTTCATTTCTCGTAATATGTATATAGAAATATGAAGTTTATCCCCATCGAAAGTTGAGGAGTATATATGATGCTCTGCAGGTACTAGTGGTGGCGAGACACACCTATCTTCTAAAACCAATGACCTCTTTCACTGAACCATCTCATCACTATGGTTTAATTTCTAAATACTTATGATAGCTGAAGCATTAAGATCACTTTGTGGCCAGGATCAGCCAGAATCAGCTGGGATCAGACAGGCTCCACTGCCAGATGATAATCACGGGTCCATGCAACGTCCTGTTGATCAGACACAACACATCTCTGGCAGCAGCTGGAACATCTACTGCAACTTCTTCTTGCCCTCCTGTTTGGCACAGTATTCCTTGTACTGTGAGTCAGTGCCGAAAATCTTGTCCCACCACGTAAACGTTGAGCCGTAGTTACCGACGAAGTTCTTATGGTGGAAGTCGTGAAACTTGGCACCTGACAAAAAGGCAAAGTAATTCTGTAAGCTGCTTGTGAGGGGAAGATTACTACCTATAGTCTGTTTGCATTGAAAAAGTACCGATTAAAGTCAATTTAAACAAAAAAGTAAATTGAATAAGATGAAATTAAGATTGCGAATCCTCATAATTTTACCTTGCCAAATGAACATTTAAATCTAAAAGTTGTTTAACAAACGATCATAGTTTCAAAATCGCTATTATTGGTTTGTATGACAAGGTTGTATGCACATCAAATGAAACACCGAGAACAAGTAGAGTTGGTCTAAGTTAACGTTCATCACGAACCGCACATGCATTTGTTTCACTGTTCCATCTACTGCGCTCACTGAGATTTAAATGTTCAGTTGGCAAGGCAAATTTATGAGGATTCGCAGTCTTAATTTCACTTTATTTGATTTACTTTTTTGTTTAAAGTGAAATTCATCGGTACGTTTTCACTGCAAACAGACTATAACACACCATTAACACTTGATGCAATCTGCAGAAAATCACAATGTGTATGCATGCATGTGCATGTTGTGTTACACCACACTCAGTAATAATTAAGCTATAGCCAAGATGGCTGAACCACTCAATCTAGTGACTGATAGCATGAGCAATAATCCAAGGTACTGTCCCATGCAATGAAACATGTCACCAAACCTGTCCTCCCAGTCCATATCATCACCACTTATGACCATCCTTGGCTGCATGAACCAATTCTACCCAGAATCCCCACCAGTTGGTTGTGATGAGTTTATTCTTAATGCCTCCCACAAACCCTTGTTAACTATGTTCGAAGTCTCACTTTCTTCACAGATACTACTGATGTTTGCTCACCTGCGTAGAAGGGGAAGAGGTGGAAGGGGTTGAGGTAGGGGAGGTAGTAGCCACTGTGGACGTCGATGGTCTCCATCAGCCTGACTGTCACCCACGCCCACATAAACACCATATGGTTGGTGAAGGTCAAGACTCCAATGAAGAACCCAAATCCAAGAACTGAAATGTGACATAAATTCTATCTTTTATTCCTTTCACGATTCAGCAATGGCTGAAATCCCATGATGAAGTGTGGATGAAACAGAAGAGCAACACACAGCACTTCATCAGTGTAATGTCAGGTTTGGTTTGTTTGCACTCAGCAATATTCCAGCTATATGGCGGCGGTCTGTCGAGTCAGGACCAGAGAATCACATGATCAACAACATCAGCATCAATTTCCGCTGTTGGGATACAATAACATGTGTCAACCAAGTCAGCAGGCCTGACCACCCGATCCCGTTAGTTGCCTCTTTTGCTAAGCATGGGTTGCTGAAGATGAATTCTAACCTGGATCTTCAAGGATCAGAGATATTTCTTCACTCTCTAAGTACATTACAAAGAAAGAACAGTTATCAGCAAGATCTGTTCACCTCTTAATGATGAGTTAGTAAATATTTCAGGCCTTATATATTTTAGTGGTTTCTGCGACCCATCAAAAACAAATGTATAGTCCTGGTCGGCAATTACATTACTGACGCTTGATAACCAACGAAGTCTTACAAGATACAGTGTCAGAATCCAGCACTATTCCAGTTGTGTACTTACTTATTGTCTCCAGTGGGTGTGCGTATTCAGCAGTCATTCCAAACGGAGTCTGGGGACAGACAGGACATTCTCATGACGTCTATAGGAACTGTGGTATTAGTCAGGCTTTACAATTATGTTGTCAGAAAATAACAAGCATATTTATGTGCACTTGTTCCTTCAATGGCACTCTCTTTGAATTGACATATAATTATGATGGCGGTGTGTGAATATTCAAGTCTGCACAATGCAATCCAATGACTGATGTACGTGTCGATCCACACAATTAAATTCAATAAAATTCATCCATGATCAGTGGATGACTAACCATAGCCAAATAATCCTGAACCAATTACAGAAAATATGATTCATTTGGAGAACAATCTTGACAAAGTCATCTCCATATAAGTTACCATATTCCCCACAATAAACACCCTGGGATTTTAGAAAATTTCCAGATCTTAGATCTAGCTCTGTCTCTTTCATGTTTGCAAGGAGCACTGTGTTAATTACCAGTCTCACCTGGAAGTAATGATGAACTTTGTGGATGTACTTGTACACCCTTCTGTCATGGAGGGCCCAGTGAAGGAAGAAGTGCCAGGTGTCCTCAATGACAGCGCAGCCGAAACAACGCAGCGCCAGATTCCACCTGAAGCATCAAGTTCAACTCACTGCTCATTTCTGCCATCCTGGGTAAAAAATATGCCCCAGTCCTCCACAACTGGAGTGTAATAACACACTACCAACCGACTATGACCAACTATGTCATACTAACTACATAGTTAATACTATTTTCTTTCAAGATGATTGCCCTCCCAAATACAGCTCTTCCAAGACTATGAAAAGTGAGTTATCAATAATATCGCATATTAACTTTTCCGACAGAAACACGTGTAAATTTTCTCACACAACATACAAATTTAGGACTTTATTCATGGTCTGCTTCGAAATTATGTTCAGCAAAGCTCCAGATAAGATTTAGCTCATGTGGGTACTGTACCCACAGTATTTTTTTTGAGTGGGTATTATGAATGTTGAGTGGGTATTTCATTTTCCGTTACCCACTGCTTTCAAATATGTGCGTATTTCAGTCATTTTACTCACCTAAGGTATGTTCTGCCTTATGTCATACCTAATCAAAACCAACTTAAATATAATGGAAATGATTTCATAAAAAATCACTCATCCTATACTGACAGTACAACATTTGTCCAATACTAACAGTACAACTTGATAGCAATCGATGTCTTTTTCATTACGCAAGCGATTTTTATAAATATATTTCGTATGCATTTGTTTTAAACTTTTTTCGTATCTAACATTTTTAATGCGTAATTGGTACGCAACAATTATTTTTCAATGTGTAATTGGAAATTTTCTATGCGTATTTTACCTGGATACGCAGCTTATCTGGGCCTCTGGTTCAGGATGCTGTTTTGTTAGTAATCAATGCAAAATATGTTACCAATCAAGTAATGTGATAAATATTATATTTCTTTCAGACTTTTTTGCTCAAAGTTTCGTCTCCGGTATTTATCGATAATCAATCGATATTTAGTTAACGATGATTGATCTCTATGATATATATCAATAACCAGCCCTAATTGTGACCAAGTGAGTGAGTGAGTATGGTTCTACGCCGCTTTTAGCAATATTCCATCAATATCACAGCAGGGGACACCAGAAATGGGCTTCACACATTATACCCATGTGGGGAATCGAACCTGGGTCTTCGGCGTGACGAGCGAACGCTTTAACCACTAGGCTACCCCACCGCCCCAATTGTGACCAAGTGTATCTGTACCTACCATGGAGGCATGCTGTCCCAGTCATACGGAATGTTGAAATATTCAGTGAAGAAATACGTCCCACTCATCATGGGCAGCTGAAAGCAATACATACAGTGCTATACTGGTACAAAACAATTGACCTAAGAACAACACTATTCTACATAGTTTTTCAGTTAACATACAAGTGTATGATGAATGTGCTTTTCAAACAAATAAATCAGCATTAAACAGATGAATGTGTCTTACTGATTTCAAACACCTGGTGTAAACTAATCACATAAAAGGTTGTGCACTTTTTCTTCTCAAATTCTGTCTTGTTCTGACTATGATATAATATATCATATATTATAATATATTTTGTCTTGTTCTAACTGTGATCTTTGCTGAGGGGCATGATAGGACTTTCAACACAAGCGGCTTTACGATTCACTGAAGTATTTGGTGAATCGAATCATATCCCTTCGTGAATTCAATTCATTAATCACAGTCACTAGAATCAAATATGCATGATTTTATATCCTTAAAGGTGTGCTTTACTTGAATTGGAATGTTATTTACCAAAATAAGATAGAATATTTCCATGCCAGGCAGGATAATAGTCAACACTAATATATATTTAATTTGACAGTAATGGTCAAATTTCGGAACTAATTTATGCTGTCAGCATGGTTAAAACCATGTAAAAAATTTACTTTGTTATTGTTTCACTGAATAATATATCAACTGGAAACTTATTATTGTATTCATTAGCCAATATCTTTATTCGTTACCTCCTGTTCGTGATATGTATCATATTTGTATAAATATCCAACATATATACTAAAAGAATCAATCACAGAACTATAAAGTATATATATATATAGCGGAGTAGTACCATAAAGACCCCTTGCAGTATCTGCCCAGTTGAAGTCACTTTATTTGAAGTTTCATTACTATTGGTCATTCACTGTGACTAGTGAGGTACAGAACACTCACCTGTATACAAAAATGACTGAACAGAATAAGCTTTAGACATGTCCACTGCTTGTCAAATGTATCTGGTTTGTCCTGGTGAAGAGAATAAAACAGTATGACAGAAGGATATTTGAGAATAACAGTGTTACCACGATTATTCCAACAGAGAGTTATCATACAGAGGATGTTGTTTATTTGTTATTCACACAAATGATGGTAATATTGCAACTATGTTATGTTTTGTTTCACAATCCAGTAAATGTGATCAAGGATTCACACTGTAAGGGTACATATTGACCATGAACCAAGTCACGGTGTCTGACAGCATGTTTTGAGTGAGTGAGTGAGTGAGTGAGTGAGTGGGGGGATGGAGGAGTGAGTGAGTGAGTGAGTGAGTGAGTGAGTGAGTGAGCATGGATATGGTGTTGACAACCATAATCACGCTGGACAGGATGAAGCCATACAGCCTTCAGCCTTATACAAACATGATGAACCAGATACAGCGATGTATGGGAGGCACTTACTGACTGGATCTTGTATCTGTTCATGAAGGGAATAAACTGGAAGATAAATGCAGGTAGACACAAGCCAAAGTACACCACCTGAAAGAGACCATATAAAGTGGATGTTAACATAGATCTAACCAGACAATGCTAATCTAAGCCTTGAGCCAACACTCAATTGGAGATACCTCACAGAGACTTATTATTTGCATCTGAATCAAAACCTAATATTTGAAACATAAATCTTAACAGTTATGACGAGGAGCTTCTACAGAAATCTAAAACGTTTAGATTTCTGTGGAGGGTTTTCGTCATTAAGTATAGAGATTTAAGTTGCTAATAATTTAAAGTATACAGATTTATATTACTACATATAAATATCTTTTAGTATAAGGTATATTTATGCACCTCTATTTGAGACAAATTATCTTTGCTATTTTTGATAATGACTGTTTATCTGTCAGTATGTGATCAGCTCGTGATACCGTTACATCTGCTTTAAGCCAACTCAACCAAGACCGTGCTATCAAAATGACATTCTGTTTCTAATATAGAGAATTATCAGCACATGGTTTCAAAGAGTAACACTGAAGAAAAACACAATCATATGATGTCATTACCTCGTGGACAAGCAGAGATCCCCATGTCGCGATTTGAAACTTCGTGTAGTTGTCAGTCATATGCACCCATGCCGTTCTGAAGGGGTCACGGAGAGGATTATTCGGCAAGTAATCCAAATATTCGCTTCCCAAAGTCTCGTTTAACATTTTAGAAGTGTAGTTAGCCGACTGAGATGAAGTGTCAGTGTACCGATTGTCCACGATCGCTATAAACTGTCAATGAGTTGTATAAGTGGTCTGTATCTCTATATTTATCATGGTTGTCAGCTGATCTAGCAGCAGACAAGTGCGTAAACATAACGGACACTGTGATTAGCTCGTCCTTATGGCATGAATATACAACGCTCTCTCTGATTGGTTGATTTCCGTGGTGCGATTTACTATCAGACTGCTGTTCGCAAACCGAAGAAGACTTTGTGAGGGGTGGCCTGTGTTGATGCGTTATCGTGAATGTTTTACGTGACGAATGTTGGAAACAATATGGTGACAATTCACGAATATTCAACAAGCATGACAGGATTTCCTTGACATATTTTGATGCCACATCTGGAGTTACTGTTTTGGAATAAGCAATTCATTTCTTCAAGGATAAGCACATAAATTTCTGAATGTTTCTTTAAAACATTATTGCACGTTATGATTTCATGTCAACGACAAATTACACCCAAAATCCGCGTAACAGTGTGAAAGTTAGAATGTCTTTCATTACGTTGAGAAAGCGCATGCTTATTGTTATTAATTATGTTTATCTTGAACTAGTTTTCAGCGCGATGTTAAACAGTGAAACTCGGTAACATATCTCTTTTTAATCATTAACTTCCCTGTTTATATTTAAAGATAGCCTATTGGTATTAATGTTGTAAAATACTAGTTTTATTTGTATAGATTTATCTTAAAATTATTGGTAATTAAATGGTGTATTTTATACAAAAAGTATAAAAGTAAAATAGGGATAAAAATAAATGAAAGTCATAAAGTGATCACTATATATATTAATAATAACTGATTGCAGTATTAAAAGTTTTGGGTTTTAGACGTATCTCATTAATTTACACTGACATTTGGTTATATTTGTCTATGATTTCAAATTATTGTAATTCATCTGAAAGGTTATTTCGTAATGTGTATGGTTTACTATAAAGCTGAATCAAGAGTATATTGTCATATTCTAGAACCAAATCCTAATTCTTAACCTCTCGAGGGGCGGTGGGGTAGCCTACTGGGTAAGGGGTTTGCTCGTCACGCCTAAGATCCGGGTTAGATTCCCCATATGAAGCCCATTTCGGGTGTCCCCCGCAGTGATATTGCTGGAATATTGCTAAAGGCGGCGTAAAACCAAACTCACTCACTTAACTTCCCGCTGCCTAATTTTAAAACCCAAACACATCACAGCTTATGAAGAGGCCAAATGTAAGATGGTAGCATGGTCTACATTTGGGGATGGAGTCGTGGTCATAATGTTATACTACTCACACTTTGCTAAGGATCACAAACATTCCCAATTTTACTTAAACATAGATTTATAATTTGAAATTGTATCCATTTAAAACTGGATAAATAATAATATACATGTAGTAAACTTTCTTTAGGCAAACACCCACTTTAATCTAACGTAAAGTTATGCATGAGTAACCATAAAAAATGGTTTTCATGGCACCAATCAACCATTTTGCAAATCATGGAACGAGTCATTTACGAGTCATTCTCTGAACTCAGCCGTGGCCAGCTATGAGTCCAGGGCCTCCTTTCACAAAGCACTAAGGTGATCGCAAGTCACTAAGGTAACCTTAGTGCAGTGTTAAAGAATGGGAGTTAAGGTTAACCTTAGTAAAGTTTGTTTCGTGAAAGGAGCCCCAGATCTCAATCCCACAGAGCATGTTTCGGACTTTATCGGTAGCAGAATACGACAGAGAGATACGAAATCTTGGTTATTGGGACAAGCTCTCCATCAAGAATGGAACCCAATACGTCAACGTCACATTCAACGTTTGATACAGTCAATGAGGAGAAGGGTCAGGAGTGTTAATGCAGTTGGCGGAGGTTACACCAGGTATTGACATTTTATGCCAGAATCTTGAAAATGACCACATTTATTATCGTCCTACGATCATAGTTATGAGCACTACAAAGTGAGTCAGGATCAGTTTATTCAGATATATAGTAAGTGAGTGAGTTAGGTTTTATGCCGCACTCAGCACTATTCCAGCTATATGGCGGCGGTCTGTAAATAATCGAGTCTGGACCAGACAATCCAGTGATCAACAGCATGAGCAGCGATCTGCGCAATTGGGAACCGATGACATGTGTCAACCACGTCAGCAAACCTGACCACCCGATCCCGTTAGTTAATATAGTAAATACATTGAAATCTGGATAAGTCCCTTTGATGTGATTAATGGTAACATTGATACTACGAAAAACACGGGATGTTGCGGTACAATATATATATATTTTCCATATGTATAAATATGGTAGGACAGTTATGGCATAATAACATTTCAGTACATCCTGTCCACACTTTGAGATAGCATGTCACAGATGTAGTCAGAGAACATTTCACGAAGAAACGTTCATACGATTCTAATGGGGAGATGAGGTCCCTGTCGATGTGTAACCTTGTGCATAGTGCTGTATATTAACGGCACGACTCGGTGTTTGTTCTGGTATGTCATCCGTATTTGTACGGCGGTACGGTGGTAAATGAAATAGTTTCTGCCTCATGCTGTGTTGTGTTTGTTTAACGCAGCACTCGGCAATATTCCATCTACATGGCGGCGGTCTGGACCAGACAATCCAGTGATCATCAGCAGCAGCATGAACACCGATCTACGCGTTTGGGATACGATCACATGCGTCAACCAAGACAGCGAGCCTAAACGTTTAGACGCCTTTTTGCTGAAGAACAATTCTAACCTGTATCTTCAAGGGTCTCATAGACTGTCCTTTGAGTACTGTGAGGTTTCTACACGTGTATGAAGGGCAATTATTTCTTGAAAGACACGATACCAAGACACTGGCTGTTACCTCATTTCTTTGTCGAGAGATGGACTATATAGAATCTTGACTTTCCTCAAGGTCATCTGAATGCCATCTCTCTGGGCTTCATTTTCACCGGCAAACTGCAACTGTAACATGAACTCGGGCCGTTGAACTGGGTTCGGTTTGGCTTTAAGGAATCTGGACGCTTCCGCCTCTTAGCGTACCGGGTAGGTTTATGTATACGACTGTGTTTATGGTACACTTCTGTATACAGAAACGTACCTATCTGTAACCCGTCCCAACAACGACCCCTTCAGCGCTACTTGTACCCCACTTTTGGTTAATCGTATACCAGGGCTGTAGCTACCATTAATAAAAAAAGCCCGGGCTTACACATGATTTTGAAAATGAAAGTTGGGCAGGCCCTCAATACTAACTAAATATATAGCTTAGCAACCTATCGGGCTAACACGAAAAAATTGGATTGGTACGCGCCTGTATACTATACCTTGAATTGAGTGAAAAAAGAAAGAATTATGTTGTTTAGTATTATTCAATACCCCAAATCAAAAAGAGGCACCATTTAGACCGATCTGTACTGCAGTACAGCCTTTCATTAAGATCTGTTCCACGGCTCCGGAAACTAGCATGACTCTCATTTTCAGATGCACTCATAATCTGCGACAAAGCTGTCGGGCAACGATTGATACACCAGTCAGGTCCCAGGTGTCGTATTAACAACGCAGCTAATGCCCCCTGAGTATTAATTCTTGAATAAACCGTTGCCAATAGACGAAAACAGATCTAAATGTCCTCTTTTAATCAGCTTAAACCGGAAATACTACAGCCACATTAAGGTTTGCATGGTGTTACCTAACGTCATGTCTCCATGATCTACCGATTTTTATGGAAGCCTTTTAAACTAACTTTTATAGGTGCCCATGCTCGATTTGGTTTGGGAGTGAGTGAGTGAGTTTAGTTTTACGCCGCTTTTAGCAATATTCCAGCAATATCACGGCGGGGGACACCAGAAATGGGCTTCACACATTGTACCCATGTGGGGAATCGAACCCGGGTCTTCGGCGCACGCTTTAACCACTAGGCTACCCCTATGCCCCTGGTTTGGGAATAATTACAATCACTACAATATATATTTCAAGTATTTGAGTTTCCTGTCTCACTTTTTATGAAGTTATATAATATTCAACATGTTTTATTTGTGTAAAAGGCGTTGGTACTACAAGCAGTCTATGTGAGAAGTAAAACTGTGTTTAAGGTCCTGTTCACGATTATTTATTTATTGCACGTGTAGAGCGACGTGCGGCGAATGTGCAAGCCCACTGAGATACCATGCTGCAGGTTAACAAGGGCAAAGGTCTATCCACTAGGGAGACTAGAAGTCTCCTGACAGATAAACGCAAAAAGGAACAGACCATTTGATCTTGCCTAGGGTTTCTTTTCAATTTAATAAAACATATTGTTTCAGAAAAAAGTCTTTTTTCTTGTTTCCAGCATTTGCCATAATATGATGAAGATGGTAAAGTAGTCAGTTCGAACCTAACAAACTATCAGTGTAGTGTTGCTTCTAACAGAATTTACACACAAAAATATATAACAGTCAAGAAATATGATTTAATAATTCTGTGTAAACAGTTTCAGTTCAGCTGTTAATCAATATAAACCAGCTGTGGTTGTATCACCTTGGAATAAACTGCTGCAGTGTCAATAACCCAGTGCTCTCAGTTCATCTCATGAGAACAGGCTGTCATCTCACCGGCTGATGAACAAACCTTGAAAACAAACCGAGCTTCTAAAAAATCATTTTTGTGGTTACAAACGTCCTCAGACTCAATAAAACATGCCTTGACAGCAAGGAGGTCTGTCCCTATGTTGAAGGTGGCACTGGTGGCAAGCTACTAAGCCTGAGAGACCTTGGGTCCCCTGAGTGGTCGTATCACCTCATGGAGTTAACAGCCCCCAGACGACCATTATTCTGTTGGCTTGTCAGTGGACTTCTGTTCCTGTGGTACAAGTCCTCGAATTGTCAAGTCATAAACTACTTCCTCAGATTTCTTCAAATCATATTTCAGGGCATCAAATCTTTTACGTAAACTATCATTTTTCAAGTTCAAAAGTCTAAATCCTGAATCGAGTTCTCCCACAAATCTGGCAATTCTGACAGGCCTCCCATAATCTCCTGCAGTCACAGAGTTCACTGCTAGTCGAGACTGAAAGAGAGGAATGAGTGTATGATGTAAAGCAATGTATGAAGTGGGAGGGAGTATGTTCTCCAACACTTCAATCAGCAATATTCCAGCAGTATCACAATGCCCATTACAAAGCACACCTGTCTCACCTCAAAGAGACACTACCCCGCGTCACGTATATGCTATGTCTCAGTTTCAGTTTCAGAAGCCCTTACCCACTTCCCCCACCCTAGAAACTCACCAGTTCACTGGCCAGCTGTAACAAGCCAAAGGTCAATATGGAACTCCAGAGGCCATTACCCCCTCCCCACCCCAGGGACTCACCAGTTCACTGGCCAGCTGTAACAAGGCAATGGTCAATATGGAACTCCAGAGGCCATTACCCCCTTCCCCCACCCCAGGAGCTCAACAGTTCACTGGCCAGCTGTAATAAGCCAAAGGTCAATATGGAGCCCCAGAGGCCATTACCCCCTTCCCCCACCCCAGGAACTCACCGGGTCAATGGCCAGCTGTAACAAGCCAAAGGTCAATATGGAACTCCAGAGGCCATTACCCCCTTCCCCCGACCCAGGGACTCACCAGTTCACTGGCCAGCTGTAACAAGGCAATGGTCAATATGGAACTCCAGAGGCCATTACCCCCTTCCCCCACCCCAGGAGCTCAACAGTTCACTGGCCAGCTGTAATAAGCAAAAGGTCAATATGGAACCCCAGAGGCCATTACCCCCTTCCCCCACCCCAGGAACTCACCGGGTCACTGGACAGCTGTAACAAGCCAAAGGTCAATATGGAACTCCAGAGGCCATTACCCACTTCCCCCACCCTAGAAACTCACCAGTTCACTGGCCAGCTGTAACAAGCCAAAGGTCAATATGGAACTCCAGAGGCCATTACCTCCTTCCCCCATCCCAAGAGCTCACCAGTTCACTGGCCAGCTGTAACAAGCCAAAGGTCAATATGGAACTCCAGAGGCCATTACCCCCTTCCCCCACCCCAGGAGCTCAACAGTTCACTGGCCAGCTGTAATAAGCCAAAGGTCAATATGGAACCCCAGAGGCCATTACCCCTTTCCCCCACCCCAGGAACTCACCAGGTCACTGGACAGCTGTAACAAGCCAAAGGTCAATATGGAACTCCAGAGGCCATTACCCACTTTCCCCACCCTAGAAACTCACCAGTTCACTGGCCAGCTGTAACAAGCCAAAGGTCAATATGGAGCTCCAGAGGCCATTACCTCCTTCCCCCATCCCAAGAGCTCACCAGTTCACTGGCCAGCTGTAACAAGCCAAAGGTCAATATGGAGCTCCAGAGGCCATTACCCCATTCCCCCACCCAAGAAACTCACCAGTTCACTGGCCAGCTGTAATAAGCCAAAGGTCAATATGGAGCTCCAGAGGCCATTACCCCTTCCCCACCCCAGGAGCTCACCAGTTCACTGGCCAGCTGTAATAAGCCAAAGGTCAATATGGAACCCCAGAGGCCATTGTTCCCCACCCCAGGAGCTCACCGGGTCACTGGACAGCTGTAACAAGCCAAAGGTCAATATGGAGCTCCAGAGGCCATTACCCCCTTCCCCCACCCTAGGAGCTCACCAGTTCACTGGCCAGCTGTAATAAGCCAAAGGTCAATATGGAACCCCAGAGGCCATTACCCCTTCCCCACCCCAGGAGCTCACCGGGTCCTGGACAGCTGTAACCCAAAGGTCAATATGGAGCTCCAGAGGCCACCCCTTCCCTAACCCTAGAAACTCACCAGTTCACTGGCCAGCTGTAATAAGCCAAAGGTCAATATGGAACTCCAGAGGCCATTACCCCCTTCCCCCACCCTAGAAACTCACCAGTTCACTGGCCAGCTGTAATAAGCCAAAGGTCAATATGGAACTCCAGAGGCCATTACCCCCTTCCCCCATCCCACTCACCAGTTCACTGGCCAGCCATTACAAGCCAAAGGTCAATATGGAGCCCCAGAGGCCATTACCCCCTTCCCCCACCCTAGGAACTCACCAGTTCACTGGCCAACTGTAACAAGCCCATGAGGTAGTCGTCAAGGTCAATATGGAAACCATCACCTCGCTGCATTTTAACTGAAACAAGAATACTGAACTTACGACACAAACAAATCTAATGCTTTGACCTGTCATTATGTTTACCTTTCTTTAATGTGCCAATAAGTACAAGCAGATAGAGAGCCAACAAACAAAACAATTGCAATCTTATTTGAATTTGTTTCCATTAACTTAAAAACATAACAAAGTAGCCACAGAAGGACAACCGTTTCCTCATTGGCTGATAATTGAATGGGTGGGGCTTGTGTTGCATTATTGTGCAGAACAACCGCACTGATATGGTATTATAGCCTACTGTGTTTTTGTGTCAACTATAAAATAAGCAGCTATGAAGTCACTATTGTTGCTACATATATTTCTTGAGAACCAACATCAATCTTTGTTTTTGTTAAACAGGTATAAAAGTAAAAATGTACACACCTGTAGTAGATTTGCAAAAACGTGCAGTCTATATTCACCAACAAGCACACAATATTATGTTTATGTCTTCATCTATCAATGGATCCATGACTTCTATTATGACAGTGCTGTGAATAGCTGTAATAATGCTGATCCGGACATATTTATTCATTATTATGACAATGACATGACCCACCTCCCAACATGGCTGCTGAGTCCTCCCTGGATATGAGAGCTTCCTTCTCCAGGTAGACGATGTACGCTGACAGACCAGTCAGTCTCTGACTCACAAATCTCCAGTGGTCATGAAATCTGAAACAGTCAGAAAAACATAGCTAGAAAACACAGCTTTGAGACCTAAGAAGAGATTGATTAATTGAATAAATTGAAGCTATCCGTGTAAGGGTTGGACACTAAATATGTCACTTACTACCAATAGTCTAGACATCTAGCCCTTGATGTGACTAGTCTGATACGGCTAAAATAATACTGTGGCAACAACCTTTCTTGTGACAAACCAAACTCCAACTGATGGTGCATCTCATTAATAGCTGGAATCATTTTGTACATATAGTATAGTAGTACAGTACTGTAATAAAGAGATGAGGGAGTTGGGTATAACACTGTTTGAACACTACTCAACCTTTATAAAGCTTGTCACTTCGATATGGGACAAAACCTTGAAATGATGCAGGTCTGAAGAATTTACCACTTTGGTAAAATCCACAAGCAAGACAACCATATTGACTTGGGATGCAACACTTTAAAGTATATTGTGAAGCTGAGATGATGAGGCCAACCATACACCAGGAACATGTTGGCATATGAGTATGATCAGCAACGAACATTTGAGTATACTAACCGATAGTACTGATCTTGAGGCACCTTCTGGGACAGCTTACTGAACTGTTCTCGTACTCTTCCAAACCGCTCCCTTGCTTTTTCACACAATGTTGAGACTACATGGCAACAGATACATGAGAATTACTGACCGAAACATGAACATATGAGACAAATTCCAAGTTTAGGTTTGCGAAGCATAAAAACAAACACTTTTCAAATTCAAATAAGTAAAATAATATACAAAAGGCATATTGAAATAGAAATAATAAAAATTACATTAACTTATCTCATTCTTAGGCTTCAGTTTAAAGTGGGGTTATTACTAAACATTTTGTCTTTGTGACTTCAGGAATGGAAATTAACCCAAAAAAACAGACAGAACTAGAAGGATGCATTCCAATATTTAACACTCAGAAAAAGTCACTGTACTGGCTTTCTGATGAGTTTTCACAGCAAAGACAATTCACGACTGAAGTCAAAATACATACTAAGCCAAAAGGTAAACTGAATTATAATTTTGTTAGCCCAAAGTAATTCCTACCTGCCTCGGACCTATTTGGTGTTATTTTCATCCACATGCTATCATCTACCAGTCTTGTTTAGTATCATAACATTATTACACCAAATGATAGTCAGATCATGGCTTGTCGACACCAAATAATCAAGATATGTGATCCACACACACCTTGTTGATTTATTACACTTCTAGTCTGCAGTATTATTACAACTGCACAGTACAGCACGTCAGATAAACAGAGGAATTTATTGTCAGTTTTCTTCTGATCACAACACTTACTGCTTTTGATGCCATCTTGTTGATGGACAGATTGTAACAAAGTCTGAATTTCTCTGGCTGTTTGTTCAATATCCTTTACTTGAGACCTTATGTCCTGAAAACAAACACATTTATCAGTACCTAAGATGTGGGGCTTGTAGACATTGATTAATTGTGAACAATTCATATTAGTAAGTATACCCAAACCTACCATGAAATTGACATTGCATGAACATGATGACCTAACAATACAAGTTTTTTTTAAATTTTAACCACAGTGGGAGCTAGGATTGACATCCAAACCAAAACAGAACAAGTTACAGTAAATTATGTTTATAACGGACAGACAGATATAATAACCTGTGTTTTTTTCTGCCCCATATAATTCAGTAAATGTTCATAACGAACGGGTAACAATGCATCCTAAATATAGATTTTTTAAGCGTCCATGCACTAACAATCTATAATTAGTGGTTCCTTTGCAATTTGGTATAACCAGTGTCTGAAATAAGGCCCGAGACGGTCTAAATTTCTGACGGACGGTCTAAATTTACAGCCAGCCAGCCCGATGGTCTGGTAAAAATTTGAGATGTTCCATGCATCTGTGTAAATTCACCATATTTGGTCTGGTTAAATCCATTTTGGGTTGGTAACATTTTGAAGTTACCAGCCCTGATGTCTGGCTGGATTTTTGGCTTGTTTCATACACTGATCAGATAGGTCACACTTATAAGTTGTCCCTCCAGATGACCAACCGTTTAAGTTTTCTATTCATAGTCAACAGCTATTATCACCATCCACTACTCTATACTGTTACATAAGTGTCATTCATTAAAGACCCAAATGACTGTTGCAACTGGATGGTACAGCCATGAAGCATTCGAAAGCCCGGAAAGGTGCATGTGCCTCTAAAATCATATTGCCAATTCACACATACAATCTACTCAATAGATCGATTTGTCAGCTTTTTCAAACAATGAAACAATTCGTGTAATTTGTGTCATGCCTCGCGAATTTCTTGCTCTTCGTTTATGTAATCTTGAAATGAAGAAAATATCTGTGAAGTTGCATCTTGTGTCATGATTCGCCAGTACAAGCCCTTTATAACAAACAACTAACAACGCTTTCAGAAACCGGAAGTACACTACATGTGCGTGACTGCTCACGAAGAAGAATATTTATGTTTCGCTATCGTCCTTATTATATGCATTTGTTGACTCAGATGTAATCAAATCATATGTCCTGGAAAAAGAACAACAATGTATATTATTTACCATAAAAAAAATATAACTTGAAGGAGGATATTGAGTGCCGAACATTCATCTTTGACTTCCGGTATGATGAGCTCCGGTATCAAAACACAGTAACAATGGACCTAAAGTCACACAAAACGTCAAAGGATCGACACACAAAGGTTTTTCGGGGATCAGCATAACTCAAATTACTCTCAGTCAATCTTTCGCGCTTGTCATAGGGCCTAAATAGTGATATAGATATTACTGTTGTCACAATTACCATGGAGACATGTCTAGCAGACGCTAAAAGTTACAATCAAACTTCCAGTGTCAAGAAAAAATCAAGTATGACTGACTGACTGACTGAGTTTGGTTTTACGCCGCTTTTAGCAATATTCCAGCAACATCACGGCGGGGGACACCAGAAATGGGCTTCACACATTGTGCCCATGTGGGGATTCGAACCCGGGTCTTCGGCGTGACGAGCCAACGCTTTAACCATTAGGCTACCCCACCGCCCCCTAAATGAAGTATGAGGCAAACCTCTGAGATGGTATGAACGTAGAAATATATTCTCGGTCATATTTTCACGTCATTTTCAGTTCTACAGACTTTTAGGTGATTAGTTTCTGGATATTTTGGTGATCTTTCACTGAAGTCAGTTCAGTCTGATCAATAACTTGCTTGTATCATTCATCTCTCCCTGTATGTATGGCAGAAATAATAGCAAATTACTAAACATTGTTTGAATTTTTCCCCAGGTTAATTACCAAAGCAGCTGAACTGCAAAAAGTTAAACATACTTGCTTAGATCTCGTCAGTGGTAATGCATTGTGAAAAAAACCCTGATTTTGTTAAGAATATGGAAGACCTCATTCTAAGCTGTGATTTTGTGGAATGATAATGAATGTATTCGGATGGCCTGAATCCTAGCTCCCAATAACAAGTCCCAGTTTGTGTGGTTCTGCCTCTAGTACAAGACACTGCAATTTTGCTGTCATGTAACCAACTGTTCCATTATACAACACTAAGTCCAGCCCTCACTCATTCATCTACTTAACCTTACAGGGTGGTAGTGACAGTCTGGCACTGACTGCTGTAGCACTACAAGATCACTGGTCACGGATGCTGTCACTAGGGGCAACCCGAGGACCCCGCAGTATAGGGCTAGGTCCAGCTGCTAGGGCCAAGCAGAAGAAAGATGTCAGGCCTGTAATTGACACAGGGAGATGTAAGTCAGTGAAGATCTTTTATTGGCATTACATGTCTGTGTTTTTTATGCACAGCATGTCAACATTTGCTGTCTCTGTACACAACATTGCAAGGTATATATCCTTCATGTGCAACATTACCACATCTATTCCTTTTGCACAGCAATGCAAATTCAGTATTCCTTATACTCAGCACGACAATATCTCTATTCTTTATGCAGAACGCAGAAACATCTGTATTGAACTTCATGTACAACATTGCTACATTTATAGTCTTTATGCCCAACATTTCATTATCTGTATCATTTGTACACATCATTGATACAACTGTATCATTTATATACAACATTGCAACTTTTGTTTTCCTTTTGCACAAAGTTTCATTGTGAAGTCTTTATGCACACCATTGCAATATCTGTTTTCTCAACATTTGAGACTACCAAGCAAAGGGCCATCTGCTGAATTGGGGTTAGTTGAGTAGGAATGTTGTTTCTGAAGAAAATAGGAGTAGAAAGCTCTTTTAGCTATTTATCTTGTGTCTCAATAGTGGTTTGATTGAGACACATTAATATATATGTTCATATGAATATGACATGATTATATGATACAGTATACAGTGTCACAGCTACTAAGGAACACAAAAAGTAAGTGCTGGCACTTTGAAATATTTACATAAATGAAGTAAAATATTTGAATCCAATGTATGGCTTGACCAAGCTTCCAGTGTAAAAATTGGCACTGATGAACTACTTCAATATTTTTTTAGTTTCATTATTGAATTTATTAATTGTTATAATATACAGTGATCAAACAGTTCTAAACTTACACCTAGAAGGAATGTCTTTCTTTTAGACCTATTGTACAGGTTTGGTCTGTGTTTGTTAACCATTATGCAATGTAATTTTTGAAGAGAGATCCTAAGTGCTGTAACATGTTTGCATACATTTGAATTTTCCAAAGCTATGCCAGTGGTATGGTTTAGTATAATATGCTGATGACTATGTTCACCACTAACAAAGTTAATACATTTCTTACCTTTGACAATTCTTTAACTGTGTTTTAGTTCGTCAAAAAGCAAAGAAACCCACTGAAGCAGAAGAGGAAGTGGAATATGTCTTAGATTCCAAACCTCCACCACTGACATTGGGTATGTTTCTCAGTGTTTTTGTTGATGTCTTCTAGAATATTTCTAAGCTTTATATTGGGACACAGATCACCATGTTTATTTCTTGTAACTTATATATGTGCTCCTCCCCAAATAAACCCCTACCTGCTGATGATTTTTAAGCAAGTTTTCTTACCCACTCATATTGGTTCCCCGAGACATATTCATGTTCATTAATAATGTTTGTACACAATGTGGCTGACAGACTGTGAAACAGAGACTACCGGTACTTGCTGACTTGATCGATATATGTCATCATATAACATTTTAGTAGCTCAAGTGATGCTAGTCAATGGATTCTTTGGTCTGGACTTAAATATTAAGAGACTTGTGTCATACAGCATGAATATTGCTATGTGTGGCATTACACAACAACTATGTTGGTTTACCCTAACATGGAGGATAGTTGCTGCACTTATTTATGCAATCAACCATCATTTTGTTGGAACATTACTAACTGCTAGGGGTGGGTATTGCAGAGAATTTTCTTATTGCGATATATTGCGATGTGAAAGCATATATTGCAATATATTGCAAGAAGTATTTTTAAACAAAAAAATACGTATAATTGAGCTAATGCTTGATTTATAAAGCATGAACACAACAAAATCACTATGCTTGATTAAGCTTTGATAAAAACTTTCTTTTAATCATGACAAAACAAAAAATGTAAATAATATATAGCACAAATGAAACAAGGAAATATCCGAAGATTTCCGAGTGTTACGAAGTTTTCCGAATGAAAGTCAAAATACTGGTTTTCGATCAGCGTATCGCAATACGTATCATTTTCATGTCTGAACCGGTAAACCGGTTATATTACGCAGCCCTACTAACTGCAGTGTGTGACGATATTGACTCACACTATTGTTTGTTTATACTTTATGCCTAGGTCATAGAGAATGGCAAGACATATCTCCAATTATGATACCATTTTCTGAATGATTTGACAAATAAGTGAAGCATTTTGCACTGATATGCGTTAACTCATTATGTCCTCAGCACAGAAGTTTGGACTCGTGGATGCACCGGACCAGCCACTGTCAGAGGCTGAGTGGAAACATGTCAAGGAAAAGTCTAACAACCGAGATGACTCTCATCAGCCCTGTGTTATCTGTAAAGAAGACTTTGGACTTCAGGAACAGGTGACTTTTATCATCCTTCCATTAAGTTAACATTCATAGGGTTTTACGCAATGTACAAATTTGTGTCCAGTATGCACAATGTAGAGAATGTATGCAGGAAAAAAATTCACTGCGGCCAGTGGGACGCACAATATTATTCACTGTACCACAACATATCTAGGACTTTGTTAAGTGTTTGGTTGTTTCTTTCAGAGCGGTTACATGCATCATTTCATCCATCAGTTCACATGATCAGTACTTCATTCCAGGCTTTAAAGAAACTATCAAAACCCTCGTAATGCCCACAAGGACCCTTAAAACTAATAATTAGGGCGCCCCTCCACCCCGGTGTGTGTGAGTTGAGGTAAACCCCTGATTCAGTTGTAAGAACATATACAGAAACTAAACAGATTTTTGTCAGATTTGGCCTATTGATAACCCTTTTGAAAGACAGGTCAAATTTACTAAGCTGTTTGAGCCAACTCAGGCTATTTTCAGGACAATAACCCTCACAAGGCATCCACATGAAAGGGTTGTATTTTGATCCAAGTCTTGTTTGGCTTAAATAATTAATACTTCGACAAATATTGACAATCTGGAACTTAATTACCGGTAAGGGACCATTCATAATTTATGGCTAGGGGGGTGATGATGATTTTTATGGAGAAGCATGTACAATGTGAATGACTCCTCCCCCCTAAAATTTATGTACAAAGTAAGTGGCCCACCCACCCCTGCATGTCGTGTACAAAATCAATGACCCCCTCCTCTCCATCATTTGTAAGCATAATCTTTATGTACAAAATTGCTTCCCTCCCCCAAGTAGACAAGTACAAAATTGATGCCCCCCCACCATACCTCACCAGAAAAAAAATGGTGACCCTCCCTTAAAATCATCTTCACCTCCCTAGCCATAACTTATGAACGGTCCCTAACTCAATTTATTTCAAATGTAGGAGGTATTTATGTATTTTGCAGGTTTTGCTTTCCTGCACCCATGTATTTCACCGGGGTAAGTAATTTATGTTTTGTATGCTTGTTTACGTTCATGGTATGTAAATAAACAGTGTCTATATGAGCAATGTTTATCATTCTTGTCACTGTCTTGAATATTGTCGTCAGTTTAAACTGTGTAGTATGTAAAAGTAAATTATTTGTAGGCCATTTGTTCCACAACATCCTCTATGAACTTGCTGACATGTCACTTGCTGACGTGGTGTAGACTAGTGGTTAAAGCGTCCACTCGTATGATGCCTGGTTTAGATTCCTAAAATGGGTACAATGTGTGAAGCCCATTTCTGGTGTCCCTTGCCATGATATTGCTTGAATATTGCTAAAAGCGGTGTAAAACCATACTTACTCTGATGATATGTGCAATTGTGTACATTTTAGGCATGTCTACAAGCTTTCGAGAGGTTCACTGGTAAGAAGACCTGCCCCATGTGTCGACGTGAGCAGTACCAGACCAGACTCATACATGAGGGGGGCCAAGCTTCACAGAGTCACCTGTGCAGTCAGGTGATAACATGCCAACAGTTATTGTTTTAGTGGAATCATTACAATGTCTTGAACCAAATTCTACCAATACCATTATGTTGAATGTGTTACACAATATGTGAAAAACATTACAGGTAAGTAATTAAGTTTATTTAGACCACATATCCAGAATTGCCACACATACAAGAAAAACATAGTGAATTGTTGTAATTTATTTAGCACTTGAAAATACTGAACTGACTTTGATGTTTGAAGGTATGAAGTTAACAAATGACTGTCATTTTGTGTTCAGGATTCAAGCAGCATGGCGAGGCTATGTTGTTCGATGTTGGTATCGTAAACTGAGGGAGACACATCCACCCACTGATCCCAAACTCAGAAAGAAATTCTTTGAGGAGAAGGTACACAAAGTGGTGTGGAAGACCTTCCATGTTGCTTGATCACCACCACTAAGATATTGGCACCAATGCCATTCAACTTTGATTTTAATGCTGAAATACAATTTGCTCTACCCCCATGTATGGTTTAATACAGTACATTAATGAAATATTATTGGTAAAGCACAAAGTTACTTTGCAAAAACTGTACTTTATTGCACTATACATGAGGGAAGAGCGAACTGTATTTCTTTTCTAAGATGCCAAGTTTAATACTTACTGACCATTAGATTCTTAGACACAAAACAAATAGAAAACATGATTTTCAGGGCAAATTACATGCTGTTCTACTGTTCTGTTCATGTGTAAGTGCACAGTTAAGATTCACGTTACTAAGAAAATAATTAAATTTGTGATTATCGTAAACCACATGGGGCAATATGATCATTACATCCAGATGAAAACTGACTAGTCACATGACATTCCATAGATGCAATGTTGGACTGTGGACATAGGCCTCATTAACCAGCATTGCCGTGTCACTGTATATTTGTGAGTCAAGCTGAGACATTTTTCTATCAAAAATAACTGAACGTAATATTTTCACAAGTGATGTTATCCGATAGAAGCAACTGCAAACCATAAAATGGGGCATTAACCGAGTTAGCTGTACAATAGGAGACTGTATTAGGCAATGGCAGCGGTTAACATTTGATAATGAAGGGACAGACTAGAATGGCATAGTGATGTCAATTCAGTGTTTACTTTATCACCTAATAAAGTACTATCATAGCGCCAGGAATGTGAAAGTAAAATTTACCAAAGTATGTAAGATACTATTTTGTTTGACTGGAACCCAGTAATCTCAGATAGTGCTTGACATGAAATGGTTCAAATGCAAAGAAAAGTAGAAAATCTATGTATTTATATGTGGATAAATACTTAAGGATGGTTTTACATTAAATGTACTGTGAGACGAACTTAAGAATAATGCCGACCTGTCATTTGAACCCGTGAATCTGAATAGCGGTGCAGTACATTTTACCATTAAGGGGCCGAGGGTATGTAAAGCGATAAACTGCTGTGAAGCGTGTTAGTTAGTCTGTCTCACAGTCCCTGAACCACATTAATTTCCCTACTGCCAAGCCCTCTCTACAGTGCTAAAGCCCTAAATAAAGCAAGTCTAGATTTCCTCTGAATCTCTGGTCTCCCTAGGGCTCCTTTTCAATATAAATGGGCTTGTTTGTTACTATCAAAATTATGTATATTCAGAGACTAAGCCTTAGTCTACGTGTTAGTCTACTCTCGCTCTTCTGGAACGGTTCAATTTGCTATTTTGCGGTTGACGATTTCCATACAACCCAATACAACACTCGAATTAACGATAAAATAAATATCAAACGGTTAATTTCTGTCCTAGCCTAGGTTCTGTGTGTGTGAATATTTTATGGATAATACGTTTGTGCTGTCCTCGAGGGGAATGAAATAACGTTATGTAAATTCAACACGGGGTACTAATAAATAAAACAAACAAAACTGAGTAATTTGATTGCTCAGTGGTAGTTTATCTGCTATTTGCTACATGTAAGTCTCTTGAATCTGCTACTCGTCATCAATATCACTGATATCACTGTCATCAGTATCGACGCCAAGTTCGATGACAAGTTTTTCGATTTCATCCTCTAGGGCAATTTCTCGATGCCAGTAACGATCCTCAATTTCCATCACATGTCTGCAACAGTCTGACCATTCCTTTTGGCCAATAGATGACAATCGTTCTTCGCAACCCTTCTGTACAGAAGCCATTTTGAAATCTAAATTCTGGGAACCAATCCAATTTTTCAAATTCGCCCAAATTAATTCTATGGCATTGAAATTGGCGTGATAAGGAGGTAATCGGAGAACAGTATGCCCATTGGTTTTCAGAATTTCATCGACATGATATACGGGGCCGCGCGGACGCGATTTTACAAGTGCAAGCAATTCAGCCTTCAACATTGAATGTGTAAAAGGTATATCATGCCTTTGTAGCCACGATTTGATTTCATCTTTCCGATTGGCAGTTGTTGGAGCTTTGTCTATTTGTTTGCTATGGTAAGGGGCATTGTCCATTATAACTACTGAGTTTTGGGGCAGATTAGGAATAAGTTTTTCTTGCGACCACTTAGAGAAATTGTTGAAATTCATTTGGTAATCGCCGCTCTTTTGTTTGGCTTTAAATATCAAAGAAGCATTAGGAATGAACCCCTCACATGTACCAGCATGGACTATAATTAATCTTGGACCTGTCCCCGATGGTACCCGAATACCGCCAACTGCTCCCTCCTCATCAGTTTGCCAACATTTTGATACTGTGTGATGGGCGTGTACCCAAGTTTCGTCGGTGTACACGATTGGACGGTTTTCTTTAAGGTACTGGCGAATCATTCTGAGATATCTCAAACACCATGCAACAATGTCTTTTCGCTCCATTAGGACCTGTCTGTCTGAACGAGTTTTCCGCCATTTGAAACCAATTTTTCTTAAACATTTACGCATTGTTTCTGTACTCCGTATAACTCCAAATCATCAGTAGCCATTTTCATAATGCTTGTCAGTGTTGGCATTGTCTTGGTTACTGTGTAGCAGTGTTGAATGTACTGGCGAATTGCGCATTTATCAAAATCATCAAATTCAATTTTCCTTCGGTACGAGTACGCACTTTCCCTGGGCTTGTGAACTTACTGGTACCCATCGCGGGAACTCATTTACCTTCGTCATTATTTTGCGCAAGGTACTGACAGATATACCAGTAGCATCGCTGGCTCTTTTTTGAGTGCACTGTGTGTGCTGTCGGAAATAGTACACATGTACTGAATGACTGTAGGCAACCTCACGTGTTTGTGAATGAATGACTTGACCCCGTTTACCCAATTTAGAGTGCGACATGATAAGTTTCAAATACCTGCAGAGTTTAATACTCGTTTAACAGTCCACTTTACAAGATACTAGTATACAAATGCTCGAGCAGAAACACGACGCTTCCGAATCATTGCGTAGAAAGTGATTACTGCAGGGAACACAAAAATCACGTGCGCGAAGTTTTCACACCTGTTCCCCTTCGAGTGAGTAGTGGATCAGTTCACGGCACGCTTCCATCACAAACGCGTCTTTCGCGCACCTCATTCTAATGTTGGTTGGACCTGCAAATCATAGAAGTATCTGTAAAATCACATACTGAATTAACTCCCTTGATATGAGCCTCGCTTTGAGCAGAAGTAGGTCACACGTGGGAGCATCAGCACACAAAAGATACGTTTGTTGTGTCCTGGCAAGGTTTGAACAAGAAGGCAAACTGATGAGGTAATGCACAATACTGCCTGTATAACAGTACAAACATGAATGAGCTAGTTATTTCACAATTATCACATACTATTTATAAATATGATCATTATGATCATGTCAAAAGGTAATGTTAAATAAAATATATTATCACAAATGTTTATCACATGCAGATTCAGAAAACCTAACTAATGGAAAGATTATTGTTATACATATTTTCTAGATGTTCGTTGAAACTTTACGGCGGTTGCTCTTCACCTCGAATTAATCTTTCGCCTTTACGAAAGATTTTCGTGGGGAGGAGCAACTTATTTTCAGCCTATAAATCAAAGATTAGAACACACCCTTGATCTGTCCACTGAATGTGATCTATATAGTAGGGTATTTCACTCCAATGATAAATAACAGAAAAATATACCCTGGTTATACAACAGAAAAAATGTGGACTGTTATGTACAGCGTTAGTAGGTGGCTTATATAAAGATTATTGACAGATTGGTAGTCTTTTACAGATCCTGAAACCAACATGTTTCAGAAATAGTTACCGGTATTCTAAAAGCTTGGTCTGTAAGTTGGTTACAGGGCGCTGATTGAAACAGAGCACCCATTATGGTTAATGTATAGTTTTACCTGAATTCATAGTATTTACATTTTTCTAATAAATGAACCAATTAAAACAAATTTATGCTCAAAGATATTATATTATAATTGTGGAAATTTATTTCATTTGTATTTCAACTTGCTAAAAACAGCTTTATCAAAGTGTGATATGACAGTTGGTGTGTGACTCGCCTGAGCCTGATGTCTAGATTTTGAGTTCACAAATATTGATAATTTCAACTAAATCTACTTGCAAACATGTCATGGAAACACTGACGGGTAAAGCTATGATGTGATTTAAGAAGCATACAAATTCAACTTGTAGAAAATGGATATAATTGTTTATTATTCTCCTTGTCTTCTCTAATAATAATTTGTGTAAGTCACCATAAGGCTGATTCACTGCTCATGTGACTTAAAGTCACTCAGTATTATTGTGTATTAGTGAAGGAAATGTTACTTATTGTGCTACCAATCTTTTCCAGCTGCAGACAATCACAGACCGAATGGTGAGATCATGTGACTTTAATGTCGGGGACTTCTTGTCGGAGATTGACAGGAGTCTGAAAGCCAGTCGTGATGTGTTTCGCAACTTTGACGCAATGTTCACCCAGATCACAGAGGAGGAATGGGACAAGATTCAGCTGAAGGTACAACTGTTGTATTATCTATAAACACACTGTATTTGTTTTGTTTAAGCTGTGATAGTGCTTCTCACTACTCATGTATATATATAGTCCGTCACTGGGTCCACAACACTTTATTCTTGATTCAAATTTAATCCTGGTCAGACAGTCCATTTGCATTTGGGACAGGTGTATCCAGTATCCCGCATCTCCTCCACAATGTCATGCTTCCCTGGCCAACCGGCCATTGTCTAACGGTCATCATAGACAGCTGACCTGCAAATGACTCTGTCCTGCTGGCAGTGATAGTAATGGTCAAGCTGCTTCTATTTCATTTGTACTGACAGCATGGTCATTATTTACATAGTGTGGTCATATATTCAATTTATGTAACTCAGGAAATATATAGAAATCCCTGATAAAAACTGCACCAAAGTGTCAACGATACATGCTACCAATGAATTATACATGATGTCATCTGTTTTGATCATGAAATTTCATCCTGTAGAGATGACATGGGGATTTCAACTGAGATTCTTTCATTGCAATGTTTTGGTACAGGTGCTAGTACTAACAAGCACTTGCTGCTCTATGGTATCAGTGAAATACTGAGTTGGAATTCATGAGTCAGATCTTTCATTGATATCAAGTTTTTTAAAATGTCACTTATGGTAGAGTAGGTTTAAACTATTGAGTGCTCTCAACAAGTCTAGTTGTTTGCTGCTAGTTCAAATTTTAGGATGACCATTAATTTGGCAGTTAATGATTACCCTAATTACACTAATGTCTCACTTTCACAGACATTGTTGATCAGAAATCTAGAAGAAAAAAGATAATGGACCCCAGGCTCCATTGATATCAGTTTATCATCACTTAACAAAGATGGAGAATTTATTTCAGTTACTAACTATGTGCCAGTTACTGCCAGTTACTAACTATGTGCTAACTGCATTAATCGTCTCATACTATAATGAACAGTGAGCTTATGTTTTTCTGCAGGCTGTCGAGAGAGGTCACGGTGACTGTCCTATCTGCCTGACATCACTCAAGACCCAAGGACTTACAGCTGAGACTCAAGATGCCAAAACTGTAACACCAAAAGCAACAAAATCTCACAGAAAAAAAGAAAACCCATTACTGAAACTTCAGAACTATTCCTTGTCCAAATCAAAACCTGGAAATATTCAAAACAGCGTGTGCATGAACAGTGTTGAGACCTTAACTTCTAGAGTGACTGATTCTTCCCAGGCTGAACCTGAAGCAGGTCCTGGAGGTGACAGGAGCAGTCGGACCACCGTGTTGTTGTCCTGTTCCCACGTGTTCCACGAGACATGTCTGGACATGCTGGAGCACCTGGCGATAGGGGAGATCAAGAAGACGTGTCCAGTGTGTCGTACAGCGTACCAGAAGAAAGTCATACATCTTGCATGACAAAGTCAGGGGTGGACAACTTGAACTAAATCACTTTTCATTTCAGACTAGTTCATACAATTTTCCAGGAATATTTTTGCCACTGTTGCCGAAGCAGCTTAATATAAAAGATATATACACAGTTTACAGAACAGTCAATATTTAATGTGTGATATTTATTGTCATATGACCGATTGTCTTACGAACCTTTACCCAATCTACCTGTTGCCCGGACGGCTTTATATCGCATGAGACGAGAATAGTGTCCTGTGATCTTTGTACATGTTGATTATTGAATGTGTGATATTTATTGTAAGATGATGGGTTGCAAAACAAAGTCTGTGTTTGCCAAAATATGTCTTTCTTCCATTCCTGGATGCCAAAGATAGAGCAGTAAAAAGCTCAATATGTATGAACATGAACATAAATGAAAATGTCATTTTATGAATATAACTTCAGTGTTTGCTTTAATACATGAAAGGTTCAAATCTGTAAAATCATCGCACAGTGTCTGTTGCCCGTTATCCATCCAGCAAAGAGGTTGTGTGTTCCATTTCCCCTTACAGGACAAAGTCTGTGAAATTGAAACTTTGTAGTGATGATCCCAGAATTTGTGTACCTGAAATATCTCTGTGGAAAACCGTTGTGCTTTTCTTCATTGCCACCACAGGCGTCAAACATTAGTTCACCCGAATGAAATTTAAGTGACCTTATGTCAGTCTCATTGCATTTTTGGCATCCCCTAGAAGGCCTTCAAGGATTAAAGTGTGCATGACTGATCCAAGCTATGTTTGTAAAATAGTCACAGAATTAAAGGCATCCTTGATGAACTACGATCTTCACGGGTCAGGTAGGCAAGATGAGATGACATATTGCATGGATGGTAATTGCTCTTGTTAATGAGTTATTTTATGTATACTGAAATTATACAGCAACAATGCAAAAACTGTGTTCTGAATCTTTCATTACTTCCGTCATGAAAAACTACATGACTTGCAGATAGGGAACATAAGCATGGCCTGTGAGCATAGCAGGGATACTGTGAGCATAGCAGTGACATGAAATCTATGTACCTGCCTTTAATTGGGTAGCAGCAGATGTATCATCAATACATAGTAACTGAAAGTTTAGTAGAACTGCATTTCACAAAACAGATGGCTGTCAAAGTAGTAAAAATGAAGTGCCTTTTTCCTCTCATTGCAATACATGAAGGACAAGAGACATTATTGTGATAATATCTGTTTATTATGTCTTGAAGATGCATTAAATACATATTAAAATATCTTTGTTTTATTACAGATTTTACATCCGTTACTATCATCATTTGTATCACATTATACATCATATCCTTATTTGTAAATATGTATGCTTTAGAAGATTCTTTACCAAACATAATCAAATAAACTGACATGGATACTGACTGGCACACACACCTTCCACACGCTGATCATATCAGCTTGACCATTACAGGGAAGAGAGCATTGGTCATACCCAACAAGTCAGCAGCTCATTTAGGTTAGCGGTTCAGTAAAATAACTAGACTTTGGGAGAGAGCAGCTGGCTTGTCCAGACTTCACTATTCCTGGACTAACTATGGACAATTGGCTTCAGAGATGTCACTGATGCTTCACAACCATACCATACGTTGTTATGTTCAGAGATGTCACTGATACTTCACAACCATACCATACGTTGTTATGTTCAGAGATGTCACTGTTGAAAGACCACAGAGAAACTAAACTGATCATGTCATGCATGCCTCTGAATTTGTCAACATCAGCCATATTTTCATACTTGTAAGTCAGTATTGACTCCAACAAACACATGGATGTGTGAATATTGTGATATGCCTCAGTCAGCAAGATCCAAGCTACATCATGGAAACAAGTCCAGACCAGACAGACCAGGGACTGATGTCATCAGCGCCATAACCATTCACTCCTCAATCAACTCTAAACAGCCAGCATGGGGTACTGGGATCTGTGCCATACAAGAGTCCACAGGGGTGGAAATAACCCATTGCCCGACGTCCGACTCCAGTGTTTTTTTTCTGTCGGGCAAGCAAATTTGTTTATCACACTGTACCGGTGTCCAGTTGACTTTCCAATGCTAATTATGTTGTATATTAGTGGAAAGATTATCAGGGCAAGTGATTTTACATGTGACACTGTACTGTAGTAAGTTTAAAGTTATTTCCATCCCTGGTCCAGGGTCTGAATCTAAAGACTCTGTTGCTTATACAATACACGAAATAGCAGCTATGCTAACCTTAAGAAAAATATTATATTACTTGGCCTTTATTCCTTGTTATGGTTAACAAATGTGTCTTAAAACATGGCAGATCATCCATGGACCCGTGTTATGGCAAGGGATGCCTGTATTTCAAAGAACCCATCTGAACATTGCAAGTAACACTTTCACAACCCATGACACACACAGCACTATACTATTACACCACTTCATTGTCATACCATCAAATTAACCATAATCAACAACAGCATCATCTGAACTCATAAAGTAAACAAACAATACATAACTAAACACAAAAAGAATAAGCAACAATGCTTGTAAACAACATAATGTTTATTGATATATTCCTCCACATTTTGAGGTTGTTTGTGAGTATTTAAGTACACTCATTCAAAGGACGGATAATTGATTACTGAGTAGGCTCAGGCATCAGGAAGGTCTTTGTACAACTGCATCATAATTCATCTCTCATACAGGCAGAACATACATGTATCATCTCTCAGACAGGCAGAACATACATGTATCATCACTCAAGACTGGCAGGACATACATGTATCGTTGTCAGACTGTACACAAGGTTGAGTACAAACAATTGTGCCCTTTGTCTATCTAATGAAGAACTTTGACATTCAGTAAACATTGAATTTTATATGCAAAAAATTAAGTTAACACCAAAACAAAAAGAACTCTTTCCTATATTTCTAACTGGAAATATACTTGAATTTAGAGTGTAAAGGCTTATTGGATTATATCTCCATCAGATAAGTGGCTGTTCAACAGTTTAACGGGGGCGGTGGGGTAGCCTAATGGTTAAAGCGTTGGCTCGTCACGCTGAAGATCCGGGTTCGAATCCCCACATGGGCACAATGTGTGAAGCCCATTTCTGGTGTCCCCCGCCGTGATGTTGCTGGAATATTGCTAAAAGCGGCGTAAAACCAAACTCAGTCAGTCAGTCAACAGTTTAACATGCAAATTGTATTCATATCTTAGACATCAGGTTTATTCAAAGTATTTTCTCTCAAAGTATACAAAACTACAGGGTACCAATAGGATCCGGTCAATGCTATTCTGAATTCTGATCCCCATTGCAAAGAACCTTCGTCATCCCTGCACAGGTCGAGCAATATGTATGTAGAAATGGCAGCAACACAACCAAATTGTAAAACTCAAAACAATTGTACACTATCACAGGAAACTTAGATACTAGACTTATACAAAACTGCAACTACAAAAGTACAAACAAACTCAAATATCAAAGCTACTACTAAAAAAAACCCAAAGGACCAAATACACTCTACAGTAGAACAACTTATGAAGTATTCTTCAAGAATATGATTTGAAGATATTGCGCTTTTTTTAAAACCACTGAACTTTCAGGGCAACATTGCTAATTATATGGAGTAGGTGATGAAATATTACAAATAACAATCACAAAAATTGGACCCTTGGATAAGTTTTAACACATCATGCCTAATGCAAGGTTACAGAGTTCCAACATGCAACCAAATACCATGCATATTTGATGCCACTTTTCATTCTTGTTGTGCATGAGCAGTCCAAATCAAGATCATAAAGGTTTTAGTGTAACTTGCCAAAATTTGACAAGGAATGTCAAAATTAGACTTCATGTGTTGTGTGTGGGAATTACACTGTATACACAGACTTCATCTTTGGCCAACAAGTTCTCCTATTTACATGGAAGATTGAAGAAGCTGAGAAAGACAAAAGCACCTTTTTGATGTTAATTCAATGTCAGTAAGAGGCACTTTGAAATGGATATTGACTGCACCTTAAAAACTATTGATGTCATTTTGAAATTTCTTTTCAAGTATTGTATGAACATACCATCTCAGGACTTATGTAGTGGTAATCTCATCAATGTGAGGGACGGGAGACTCCTTGTATCATGGTATTCCACTACAGTAACACATTGATAATAGTTCTTGCTGCTTTTAGGGGCAGACCATTTGATATTCTGGGGGTGGGGTGCACTTGATACAGGGTTGGAAAAGGTGAAAAAAAACTAATTTGTTCAAAATGATACTGAAAAGAGAAACAAAATGTTTACTGGATAAGCTGTGTCCTGAAAAAAAATGAATTGTAAAACTGATTCTATGACTCCTCCTTCCGGAGAATTGTATGTATAGAAGTGATTAAAATAAATCCTTTCTCAAAACATATCCCCTGGCCTCCCTCCAGAATATTACATGGTTCAATCCTTATATTAATTCCATTTGCACATATTGAGGCTCCTGTTCTGTAGTTGGAAAATGTTGGTGTGCTGTGATTTTCATAATGCTTCCATCCGTGTTTTGATTGCAGAGTGTACAACCTCAAGGCTGTCCCTGTCGAGTTCCCGGACCAGTAACAGGACAGACTGCAGGATGTTAGCATTCTGCAACACGTCACCAAAAACAATGATAGCATAGCTCACAATGATGATTAAAACAATTTGTTAAATCAATGGCCTGGCTTAAATTCTGTGTATAACCTGAAGAAATAACAAATCACTTTGATGTTTTACAAATTCATTTTTATCCTGCTTTACTCTGTACAATCCCTAGGAGATTCTGGGACATAGAGTGAGTGAGTGAGTTTAGTTTTACACCACACTCAGCAATATTCAAGCTATATGGCGGCGGTCTGTAAATGATCGAGTCTGAACCAGACAATCCAGAGATCAACAACATGAGCATCGATCTGCGCAATTGGGAACCGATGACATGTGTCAACCAAGTCAGCGAGCCTGACCACCCGATCATGTTAGTCGCCTCTTGCGACGAGCATGGGTTACTGACGATCAATTTTCTAACCCGGACCTTCACGGGTATCTGGGACACAGAATCTCAGCAACATATAGATTGAGTGGTCAAGCTCAGGGACTTGATTGACTGTTTCCAATCATATCCAGAGGACTGGATTGTTACTCAATATATCAATCACTGGATCATCTGGTGAAAACTTGATTATTTACCTGATGCCATCATATAAACACACAAGCCAATTAAATGTGTCAAATGTAACATACATTGTATTTGGATTACACTTTCTTAGTACAGATTCTAGTGCTTTGAGTTGTGTCCCATCCTGAATTCGAGTCCATACATTCAGGGTCAGACACCTAATCACCAGCAAACAAAGTCAGCCGTCTAACCCACTCCGCCACCACCACAAGATATGTAAGTCTGACCACTGGTAGTCTAGATTACATACTTTGTGTACCCCCTCTGACTAGTACATATTGGCATATAGCTGTAATATGCGCTGAGTGACATTCAGGTTCAAGGTTTTACAGCAGCCCCCAGAGGAAGGGCCCCATGTGATGGAAAATATCACTTTGCAAACACAAGCTGACATACTCAAGAAGGTTGTGATTATACTTGACAAATACGTGTTGTTGTTACTTAGTGCCTCTTCACACTCACGATACCAACACAATAGATGTACATAGTAAGGCATAATTCTGACAAACAACAAGCCCTGAGAAGAATACTCACTCTGGATTTGGTGAGACTTGTAGAGGATGATCTTGGTGTGATTATCTTAGCTTTTGGTAATGGCTTCAGGCCTAGTTGCTCCCGAATTCGACTGAAAAACAGGAAACAAAATCCTGCATCTGAAGTGCATATAGCAGACACACAGCTAGTCTGTCTAACACACAATTCTTACTGACAATGTGATTACAAACCAGCGCGCAAACAAACCTAACTACTGACTGAGTGAATGAGGTTTTACGCTGCCTTTAGCATTATTCCAGAAATATCACGGCGGGACTCCAGAAATGGGCTTCACACATTGTACCCATTTGGAGAATCGAACCTGGGTCTTCAGCATGATGAACCAACCCTTTAACTACTAGGTAGACTAATGTTTAGTCTCTGAATATATATAAATTTGATAGTAACAAACAAGCCCATTTAAATTGAAAAGGAGCCCCAGAGAGACCAGAGATTCAGAGCGTGAGGAAATCTAGACTTGCTTTATTAGGGCTTTAGCACTGCAGAGAGGGCTAGGCAGTAGGGAAAATAATGTGGTTCAGGGACTGTGAGACAGACTAACTACTAGGCTATCCCTAGGCTTTCGCCCCTATTCAATGTTATTACTTGCAGAGATGAGAGGTCACTGATAGATAAAGGGCCTATCCACACTAGATCACCCCAGCAACGCTGCTGGATACTGATGTCACAGCATTCCATCCCTATGTATCTGACAACAAAATTCATATTAAGTTTGTGGTACTGAATTGTAAATGCTGTCCACATTTTGTATAGATCTGGATAGCTACAACAGAATACTTAGAATTAAGAAAACATGTAAGCCTTGGACTCTCCATTCTCTAGTTCTGAGTATTCAACTACTGTTAGGTTCTGATCTTTGATTTTGAGTTATGTACCCTACTAGGTAGGGCTGAAAAAATAGGTCTATAGACTCATTGAGTTGTTCCTCCCCACGGAAATCTTTAGTAAAAGGCGAAAGATTTATGCGAAGTGAAGAGAAACCAGAGTATCCTTCACTTGAATTAGTAAACAATATGTATAACAATATTTATCACGTTATGCTGGTTCACTGAATTTGCATATAAAAAGTAACTGTGTTAAATAAATTTCATTTAACATTTAATCTTCAAATGTTCATAATGATCATATTGACAGATATTATGTGACAAATGTGAAATAATTATCTTATGTATTTATACAGTCATAGGGCAAGCATGCTGCATAACTTCATTGTTTGACCTCCTTTTAAACCCTGCCAGACCAGGACCAGTACAACTTTGTGTGACTTCTGCTCACCCACGTGTGACCTACTTCTGCTCTCACACTGAGACTCCAGACAAGAGAGGTCATTCAGTGAAATGATTTTAAGGCTGCATCCATGACTTGACGATACATGTCCTATATTTGATATTTTATACAAATACTGAAATTCCTCCAGAATATGTTGGTAATTGTTCAATGTGTCTGCTAATCACAAAAAGTGCAACATTACATGTACATGCGGAGCCATGCCAGTTTCACCATGCCAATAGCCCGAACACATCTGCAAGTTGCAGATTATCATGCTGCATCATCCCAGTCCATACACAACCCAAAAATATTCAAGTAAATCACAACTGCATGATGAGCAGAATCAACAAGACTGACAGAAATAATGTTCCAGAGAGATAAATCATGCTTCCTTGAAAGTGTCAAAATCATAAATGACAATCCAGACGTGTGCAGCACAAGCAGAGTTATCACTAAAGTACTGTCGGAAATGCTAGAAAAATGCTTTTTGACTTATATTTAAAATTCAGAGGTATTACAGTTACTTAAATAACAAATATCACTTTAAGAAACATCTACCTAATGTAGACCGAGGGAATAAATTTTGAGACATGCCCTAAAATGTGTTTTTACTGATGAAAATACCAAAAACTTAGAAAAATAACGGGTAGTAAGACGTTATTTGATACAAACATTAACTGCCTGTGTTACGTCATCAGCATGCACGGTATCGACAGGTGAAATTGACACCTAAGCACACGCTCGGAGGAGGGGTCATCTCAATAGTTTTCTTCAAAATGTTGAATATGTGTACGTATAGTATACGTATTGGTTATGTAGGAGATCATTTGTGCATTTGTGTATGTGTGTTTGTTTTGAAATACACATACGAATTACTGTACATTGGAAAGAATCCTATCACTTGTGTTATCTTATCGATTGATTGTAGAAATGTGCAACGTTTTAATAAGTGTTTTGCATGTCAACAGTATATTTCATTGCAAAAATATGGATGTAATTCGGTCAGTTTAATCTAGTTGTGAACATTGGCCAAAGATTGAACGAAGTCACTGGTGTAGCTTCTTTAGAATATATATATTCTTCTTCTCCTAAAGTTTGTAGACCGCCCGTCTAAGTACTCCCTTGTCAAAGTTGTCAAGGATGGTTTTACGTCCCGGTTTTGGTTTTGAGATGGTCCCTGTCTTGTCTGATTTGTTTACAATATTGTAAACTTGTTGGTAAGACATACCAACAGCTCTACAAGTTCTGTAATAAACCCTTTCTAAACTAATGAAAGGTTTACCTCTGTCTTTTTCAAGCACAAAAAACTTATAAACCTTTGCAACAATTGTCTGCAAATAGTTGGCCATAGTGGACTCTGTGATAAAGATATGCATGCATGACGGGAAGCTTATTTATCAAGACTTAACATTTATATGAATATTTCTTCAATAAAGAAACGATAATTAAGTAAAGTAACACAGACATTCAACATTTATTTGTTAAAGAAAAACGTTGATTCATATTTTTACACCACCTGTATTATTAGCATAAATGTAAAGACTATTTCAGATTTCTGTTGTTGAACTCTGAAAAAATCTTAAGTTGTTGTTTTGGTACCATATTCTCTCCTGTAAACTGCCCTTTAAATGCATGGGAATGTTAAATCGATTGAAAAAAAAATTAGGTACACTATAGGCGAGTTGATATATTGACAACATAGTACATTTATCACCTTTATAAAGATATAAGGCTGAAAAGCATTTTTCTAGCATTTCCGACAGTACTTTAGTTGTTAGTCTAAGTTATCACAAGCGATTCAGACAAATGTTCTTGCTTAGCATGTTTGTCTTCAACACTTTGTTCTAAAACTTAGTATAAACATTTATCTTTCTATAAGAGTGAGTGAATTTGGTTTTATGCCACTTTTAGCAATATTCCAGCAATATCACTGTGGGGGACACCAGAAATGGGCTTCACAGATTGTACCCTGTGGGGAATCAAACCTGGGTCTTCAGCGTGACGAGCGAACACTTTAACCACTAGGTTACCCCACCGCCCCACACAACCAATGAATGAAATCATGTAAATCACATCTGTATGATGAGCAAAATCAACAAGATGGACAGAAATAATGTTCCAGAGAGATTAATCTTTCTATCCTGAAAGTGTCAAAGTCTGAAATGACACCCAACACACGTGTGGCACTACTGTGTGCAGCACAAGCGGACTATCACAGCCTTTCAGTTCTAGCTTAGGGTATTTGTCTTCAACACTTATCTTTCTAATACTTAGCATCAACATTTATCTTTCTACAAGAGTATCTACTCACTTAGTTTCTTCCCAGCTGAGTGTGACTGCCTCCTCCTTGACCTTGTCTCTTGATGATTCCACACACTGAGTATCCCCTTGTGACGCTGCAGTGTTGACACTGTCTCGGGGTGAATCTGTCTCCTGGACGTCCTGCCTTGTTGTGGTCACTCGGTCAAGGGGCTTATCTGCATCATTATAATCACCAGACTCTGTCTGTTGTGTGACTGTCCCTGCAGCAGCAACCTCATCGACATGTGCTGCATCTCCACGTGCATCACCATTCTCCAACTGTGAGTCAGTATGAACAGGTTCAGTTGGTTTTGATGCAGGTTGGTTTACTTCTACTACTTCTAGTTTCTGCAGAGGTTGATCTGATAGAAGTGATTTGATTGGTTGTGTTGCAGGAGGGGTCAAAGGTAAGGTGTGCAGATCCTCTCCTTCATCCAGTGCCAGGTTAATTTCCTCTTCTGTCACAGCTACATCACACATATGAACATGCAATTTGAAACAATTAAGATATATTCAATAGCAAAAATAAGTAACATACCCGCACATTTTCATATGGTTACTGAAAGGGAACATGTATTAAGACTTGGTTCTTTTTCTCTAATGTTTCATAGCAACAGCTTGCTTCTGTATCCTGTACTGATTAATGTGTGAATTATACACTATTTTCTACATTTTCTTGTCACATCGAAACACTGTATCACACTGTGTTCCTGTCAATATTCTAATCATTTTAGCAACAATACTCCTGTCTTGAAGTATGAATAATTCAAATTTACAAGGTTTCTCTGTGATATCAGCAGCCTGTGACTTCATCTACTAATCCAACTGAGCTTGTAAACTGTCATTTGGTCTTAGCTTAGTTGGTTAAAGTTCCTACCTCATGTGCTCTAACAAACACCACTTGACAACTTTCTTGACCTACACACAGTGTTCACGAATGGTGTTTCAAAGTCACAGGACATTGGGTCCTGTAAGTTTCAGATGTCTGTCTGACCCATTGAAAATGCACAGGACCCATTGAATAAAATTAAACACACATTTCAGATTTAATATTTCTTATAATTGACATTGAAATTATTAACAAACATAAGATTTATAAACAGCAAACAAGTGTCACATGTCACATAAAACAACTTCAGTCAAAGTCATTGTGAAATATACAGTCAGACACTGGGAACGGCGGGTTGTAGACTTCTGTCTGACCGTTAGACAAATCTGCCGGATTTGTCAGAGGGTCAGACACTATTCGTGAACACTGTACACAACCTTTAAAGGTGCCCTGTACACGACTAAAAATTTACGCGACAGTCCATCTTTAATTGGAAAAAGTATTGTCAAAAAAGTTTTACTTTCATCATTTTTATAACAAAATTTGATTACAACTACCTGATATCTGAAAATATATTTGAACTGTGTATGGTTTTAATAAGTACTCAACTTCATCCAATTCATCAAAGTACAAAGGTGAAAACAGAATATTAATAATAACAAAATCAACTTTGTCCACAGGAAATAATGTCAAGTGACCAGTTTTGCTTTGCATAATCAACAGAAATTGGCACACACTGTATCAATGATGAGAGGTACATCATTCTTGCCAGTCTTGTGACTATCTCACTTTATTACCAGTACCAAGGGTTCACATCTCATTAGTGATCTCTGGCTTTCACGATAACATGCCCCTGAATGATGGTCTGTATACAAATAAAATGCCCCCATCCTGACTTTAGAGACACTAAATATTTGTAATTAGTTGAGTCTTCTGTCAGTCAGTTGCTTATTGTGAATAACAACATTAACTTAAATAAGTGTTTGTTTGCAGTTAAAATACCTACCTTTGTTATCAAGTTTCTGTAAGTTTGGCAGAGTTTTCAAGACAGTCATGCGGTAGTTTTCTCCTGCTGCACATGGATTCTCAGACAGCCATAACACTCGCAGTTTGGGTAACTTCTTTAAATATTGGATGTCTGTTAGACATTTTACATTATTTTTTCTAATGTACAATTCTTGAAGGTTTGGGCAATGTGCAAAATCCCTCAAAGTGTCGACTTCATTGACACTGAAAAGTAAAAATACACTGTATAAACCTTATAGAAGGTTGATTTGTGTGGGGAAAATAAAATGTAATATATAGCATATTTACAAGTAAAACAGGAAAATATAATTCCTTAGCTACCTTCTCATCTGTAACAATAATTTAAGGTGGAATCCCATGACCATATAACCTCACTCATTTAACAACAAATGATAAAACTCAATTACATGAACCTTATTTCACAAAGCGATCAAAGCACTAGTAATACTTGAAGCCCATGTCAAAGTTTGGGAGTTACGGTAACCTTTGTACTAAGACAGATTTGTGGAGCAAGACCAGTATTCAAAACATCATGAACATGATGAAAGAGCCATGTATATGTATTAAGAACTAGTATGTGTATTCAAATCAGGAAATAGAAGCACCTTAAGCTGCAGACTTCCAGACTTGGCATCTGGCGGACAATACTGACATCTTTGATGCTGGAACCCCTACAACAGAATAAGAAACATATCACAGAGTGAATGAATCGGAGCTCAATCATGGTGATGAGCAATATCATAACATGGTGTGCGTCCTCAATGTAATCTTGTAGTTACAGCTGTTACAACTGTCAGTAATTCTCCAAACCTTGCTTCACATCTGTCTTGTAACTTATTTTTAATGCTATATTTGATGTAATGCCACAGAATAAGCCCAATAATGTAGAAATTTTCAATACCTATTTACTAAATATCAGCTATGCATTTTATGTCAGGTGCCATATTATGGGAGTCTTAGACAGCCACTCATGCAAATAAAAACACATGTTGGGTATTCTTATATACTTTACTGTTCTCACATTTCCAGTTGCATTTATTCTTAACTTTCTCTCAAAAATAGTGAGTTGGATGAACTTGTTTCATGTCAAATTTTTGGTCACAGGAATTGAAAACCAAACCACTTTTACTCACTACACTTCATCAGTAATGATTTAAAAGCCAACTAGAGATGGAGCGATTGATTGATTAATTGATGGGATCAGGAGACTAATCAAAATGTTTACAAAATGACACATTAAATTAAACTTTAGAAGGTATGTTTCTTAATGCTATCTTTGTAGGGGTGAAACGGTCATTGTATTAAACATTTTAAACCTCTCCTAAAATGTCTAGAAATCGAATCAATTGGTCAAAATCTATGCATTTCTTTGTTTGACGGATGCTATTTTCCTGGAAGTAAGTTAGAGATCGCCTCAAGTCGTCTACTTACAAAGTCAGCAAGACAGCAACTGCAGATACCAGATCAGTAGCTGGGTTCTGTTTCTTTTTCAGTTATTTCAAATAAGATGAACAATGGAACATCGTAATAACTTATTGAAGTCAACTTTATCATAAAAACACGCAATCAGCCGGGTACTTATGATGTTTGCTGTGATGCAACACACGGTGAGTCAATACTTCTGCACCATCGGAAAACGTATGATGTCAGAAAACTCATAATAAAACAATCTTCCACGATTTCATTTTATTTGATTAAATTTAATCCCATTTTCATTCATTAAAACTGTTTACAGTAACAGCGGAGAAAACTTGTGTGAAATGACATCACCCCATTCTATAAGCGGACCACAGCCGCTTACCTTCTTCATATGGGTCCCGCTTTTCGCCCCTACCACGATAGCACCAATTTCACATTATTCTCAGTAATCACGAACAGACTACCTCCTCGTCATCCATGGACCCCAAGACCCGCGTTATTGACTTATTGAAGTCATATTTCACAATTAATTGCCAACATTTTGTTTTTACAATCAAAGTGGTAGGAACCGCGGGAAGTCAACAGTGACTTGTCAAACTGTCTCATACGTAAAATGTATCCTGCCACCTAACCCAAAGTGCTGGACCTACTGGCAGTATGTTAATTATTATGTTAAATATGTTCGTAGAAAACATGCATATTACTAATACCATATACGATATATATTATCTCTGTTATAATAACTGTTTGAGATATAACTAATCTGATAATGGAATAGAAATTCTTTGATGTTATATTTTCAGATCGTTTTTAAAAATATCCCCGGTATATTGGAGCAAAAATTGAGTACTCAGGTTATTTCCAGCTTAGTTGAATAACAGGTAGCATAACAGGAACGACAACTGAATTATCATGTCTAGTGATGTTTAATTTGATTGCAGGTTTCCAATACACATATTTATTTTCATTTAAAAAGTTTGTTTTTCACCTCCGACGATTTTGACTGGGCACAATACATGAAATAGCAGTTCTGTTATGTCCATGGAAAATACAATTTTACATGGCCTTTATTCCGGTTATGTATAACGCGGGTGTCTCTCATAACTCCGGGGGTCATCCATGGACCTCAAGACCAGTGTTATGGGGAGGGATGACTGTAATTATGGGTATGGATTTTGTGGCTTTCCAATCACATTTCTGAAGTATTATGTTTGTTTGTTGTTGCTACCATCTCATTACAAGCTATATCAGAACAATGAACATTTAACGACCATTAAAAAGAGAAATGCTCAGCATTCTCAAGGTAAACATATTTCTTTCAGAAAGGAGAAATACATTTCTGAGTGAAACTTAAAAGATATTTTGACTTAATTTGAAAACAGAATAAAACAAAATTCTGGAATGTGCCAAGATTGTGTAGCAATACTTCCCAAGGACTGTGGAAAGTCTCTAAATGCTTAACCGACTGAAACGACAGAAATTGATTTAGAGCAAGGACAATGATCTGTCACACAAACTGTAACTGTTTTATGACAACTGGGTTGTGCTAATTTGTTTAATTTATTTATCTGTGATATGTCATCAACAGAGTCACATTCGACAAGATCTGATTTGTCTATTGTTTTGTGTTGTTATTTTAACATTAACATTTCTGGTGATTTCACTGCAGAAAATGCTGATGTGATGTTAGTGACTTTTAATCATACTTGGCTACTTGCTATTTTTCAGCACAGCTGTGAGCTTCAAGGTTCCAGTGATACTTTAGTTCTTCTATCTTGTCATGAAATGACAGTTTTATTCATTCAAAATAACAAAGATGATGGTTATTTTTTTCCATGTTATTAAACAATGAAAGGTTCGGCTCTTGTTGTCAATTTTCTGCATTATGATCATATCTCATTTACCGAACCGAAACGGACCGAACCGAAGACCTTGTATCGCAATACATACTGTACCGTGGTAAGAAAAGAAGAAAGAAGTTGGGGAATGGAAGGAACTCTTTCCTTTTGTCTGTTTGTTCAGATTGAAGAAATTAATTAATGGTCACATGCAACCAAAAAATCAAACATAATTAAAACACAATTATCACTTATTCATGACATATAATATACATTGCTGATGATGAAAAAACATAAACAAAAATTTTAAGCCTACAATCGCAAATCAAAAGTGCAATATTTTGTACTTGGGTTTACTTCCCTCAAAACAAAGCACCCGGGATACTGAACCCAGTCAAAGCGGGTGGTTGTGCACTCAAGTGTAACGTCTGGTTCATTTGCAGATGCCCTCACGGCTCATTGCGTGTGTATATTTAGAAATGTTGGATTTTGTAAATACATGCTCATTTTTTGTGTATAACATTTTGCAATCAACAGACATCATAACATATCATGTGTACAAGTATCACACCTGCCTGTCTGTGTAATTACATAATGTGACAGAGACCGAACTCGGGCCATAAATTAATGCGTTTTGTTTATGGTGTATAGCCTGATAGGTGTTAAGTTCAAATTGCATGTGATCAGTGATCGAAGTTGTGTATTGAATATTGTCATTAGCAGACAGGCAGGTAGACACATAGGTGTCAATTAAACAGACATTGAGTTTTGTCTGTGACGACATATCTATATCACAGTTAGAAATTCTGTCAACGCTAAATAATGACATTGCTTTTAAGTATCGAACTGTGGTGAAATAGACAAATGAAATTATATAAACAGTTAAATCGGTAATCTACTGTTATAACATATAAAAAGCTCGCGCCTGTGAAATATCAACAAAACATTAGAAAAATAGCTCACATCAAAGCCTTCACCAAGTAACCACCGCCAGTGAAGGTTTTCCATCTTGAAATGTTTAACGCCTCACTGGTTGACACATAGCTGAGTAGATCTAGATCCTAACAAGGTTCTTTTATGTAATGAGTAGATTTTTTACTATTTGTTTTGATTAGACTACTCCTGCTCACGACCTTATAATCCGGACATCCCGCTTCCAAGCTGCGCAAACCTATTTCACTGCGAATGTGCTTTGAGCACAGCTCAGCACAGCTGTTGAAACCAATTTAGTGAATCGTTTGAACTCCGATTTCGCAGGGATTTTTTCATCCTTTATATATTTCAACTTTATAAGTTGAATTTGCATTTTTGATGATTTGTATCAGTAAGTCCATACCAAAAGGTATCAGAATCTGCAAAGTTGTGTTTTACATTGCATGTGACCTTTAACATGCGCCCTTTGGTATGTATGTAATACTGTAAAAACTGCTTCAAAATTTAGGTCTGCTGTCGTTACAAGTGACAGTTAATGAGTCCTACATGGTAGTGTTGGGAATTGGTTAAAATCTTATAATTTATGATTGGTTCATTACAACCGATCAATCATCCAAAATAGTTGGTTAGCATTATTTATCAAATTGTCCTGGTTATGTTTGTTAATGTACACAAAAAAACAAAAACATGTAGTTCTTTCGGTTGTTTTGGCAAATTTCATGTCTTTTAAGGATGACTAATATGTTAAGAACATAAATTTCCTGGAGTCTTCAAGATAAATTTTAATCGTGACTTGGAACGAGCTTTTAGTGCTTATGAAATGCAACAAACAAAACCAACCTGGTGATAAATATTGTCAATGCAAACAAGTGTTCAAAAATTGTTTGTGTTCGATTATGACAAAATGTGATCGATTGCTTGGTCGTTTAGTCATTACGACCAATCTTCGATTATTTCAATCAATTGGACCACCACTACTACATGGAGATGTTAAAGAACTAAATAAAGGATCAGTACCTTTTAACATCCAATACTAGTTCAGGGTCTTCTTATACACGGTACATCATCACACCAATTCCGCCAAGTCTAATGATGGTAACTGTCTGTAGTGGATCTATCCTTTCCATACAATATAGACATTGTGGCCTCATGATGACCACTCTTTCGCCTAGAAACAAGGGCTGTGGATACCACATCACAACGATGCTGGACTCAAGACTGGCAGCTAGAGGTTCGTCGCCAGTTGTACTGTCAGTGACAGTAGTGACAGTGTCACTACTGTAGTGAGTAGTGTCAGAGGGTTGACATGAACGCATTTATAAAATTCGGAGCGACAGTCCACTTACCAACAGTTTAGTTTGCATACGCTGTCAAGATCTGTGGCCCGGGTTCTAGCTAATACCAATGCTTCAGTCAGTTTTCCTGTGTACTTTTCCGTAAGTGCCATAATGAGTAGTGAAAGGCACTTCCAGACTTATCAAACGATAGACCGGAAGTTTACAATGTGTACCGCACCAATTTACGGGCCGAGGCAACGGCAAATGCTTAAAAATATTGATATTTTATTGTTAGCCTTTATTACTATATGATACAGAATATGTACAATTTATTCCGTTCCCAAATAATAGTTTCATTATATTGCGTTCGATTCTATGCGTACGAATGTATGTTTATGAAAAACCGGTGAAGAATTAATAAAATGCCCCATAAAATACTGACCCATTTTCCACGACGCCTGTCTTTCCCACCCTTATTGCAGATACTCGCTTTTAAGGAGTGAATATTTGCCGCATAACACTGTACGACCTACTGTCCCAAACATTCACGAAAATACAAGAAAGAACGTAATCAAGATATGCATATGCAGGGTTTTACCTTGACCAACAAAATTGGAGTCCGTACGTGAAATACGAGGGTCCTATAGAGTGATGAAATGATGTAGTAGTCTGTAGTGTAAGTTTTACTGATTTCTTTAATTACAAGAACTTTATATTTCTTGTCACGAATATTAAACAGTAAGCATTTTGTGCATGCCAAGGGACACAGTATATGTAATTTTCTGTGTCCATTCTATACATTTATGCGTATATTAAGGGGCACATTTCTGCGTCGCGTAAAACCCTACTGATAACCTGGCCTGTTCAGATAAAACCGATCGTGTATATGTAAAGACTTAAATTTACTCTTTGAAAGAAGAAACTGAAAAACATTTAATATCCATCTAAAAAGGTATGCATTCATACCGGGAGCATACATAACTCCTTCATATAGAACCCTTCATTCGTGATTTCCTCGCACACTGAATTGATGTAGGCAGAGACCATATAATAGATCTATTATATGTTCTCTGATGTAGGGTGGTGGATGGTCCATGTTTGAAGGTACAGTTATTTTTTCATATCATTGAAAATTAAGCGTGCCATTTACTAATGGTTCATTTTTATTATTGGTTCATTTTTATTATTTAAAAAAAAAAAAAAAAAAGCTTTTTATTCAGGCAAAGGCGTCACGTGGATTATTTAGAATCTCTTTAATATATATCCTTTTTCGATTCTGTATCTCTCCGCCAATATTATTTCTTTGTTTGTTCTCGCATAATAAATACCATATAGAAATCGTTACCAAATCATTACACAGAATAAGTTAGTAGTTAATTCAACTTTTTTTCTGTACGGGATTAGCCAAGATGTGTCCGTTTGATTGCGTTTCAAATGGGATAATTTTGTACAAACTAGGTCAATGGTGGTGGATATATTTTCACTGTGGGTCGATTTCGGTTTACACCGGTCAAGCGCGGCCATTTTAAACCTTCATGGCGGTACTTCTTGCTCCGTGTTTTGATTATTGTTGTCCCGCCGATGATTTCCTTTGATTTATGAGCGAAAAGTCTCAAGGATGGCGAACAGCCAGTCGATATTAGAAAATATTACCAAAAGGAATTTTGATGGTATTCTTGAAGATACAAAGGTAATCTTGAGTAGATTTCTTATGCAATCAACCAGCGGCAGTGGGTTATCCCTTCAGCTTTCATATGGAAAAGCCGTCTGCCTATCACGATAGATCTATTTCCCCTATCAAAATGGGCCCTCAAAATGAAAAACAACTGCGGCAGTTTGGAGGCTAGCTTCATGGGTGCTTCGATCTGAATGATAAAACATTCTGTATTGTATTGAATTAGACTAGAGTATCACATATCACAACTGTCATGTATAACTATTCGATATAAAAGTTGGGAAACATTTCCTACGTTCAGTCATGATTTAATATGATAATGATGATATCTACATTATCACGATCAGTTTTGATCCTTTTACCGATTCATGTTTCATCAGTGTAATCTTGAGCCAAGCGAATTTCTTAATACTTAGAGGTAAAGAAAAACTGTTACTAGTTTACGAGGCATCACAATTCTTTTCAATGAACTATTCAGAAGAAATGAAACTTTACTATGTGACCAAGTTTGATTTTTTTAACAAATCAGCTTACATGAAACAGTCATGGCATAACCCTATGTCTTTCTAACATTATTGACATGGTTGAATCGGGATACCTTTCTGGTGTAGCCTATAATGGCTGCCGAACAGTTGTCGCTGCATAACAGTTATCGCCAATACATCTGTATTGCGTGTGTACAGTTTTGGTCAATTACACTTTTGGTATTTTTCCCACAGTATTTGACAACAATAAAGGACAGGAAAATATAATTTTTCATGGCAAGTAACATAAGAGATAAATTAAAGATACAGTTATGAACCGTATACAATTATTTAACTTAGTCGGGGGGTGGGAAGGGATGTCACACGATCTATATCAGTGTAGGAAAGATAGCCCGTCCCAACGTCCGAGACGGATGAATTTTGTGGAGGACGGGTTAAAAAAATATCTAGTCCATCCTCATGTCGGGTCAATTTTAGCAAACCAATGACATATATATAATGATTATAACCTTTTTGAATATTTACTGCCGAAGGTGTTTTATTTATATTTGGAGAACAGGCTAGATTTTGGCAGGACTGGTAAAAAATTTGACCTGCCAGTCCTGTGGACAGGCTAGATTTTCTACATCTTTCCTACACTGTCTATATGATAGCAAGTTCAAGTTCACTAACATCATTATTTGTTTAATTCCCTACCAATCTACTGTTAAAAAACAATTCAACTAGTCACACAATTATTGAGGTTACTTTGTGATATAAATATATATTATTTCACGAATGTCATGAATTCTGGTGATAACTGTTACAGTTAATTGTGAGGAAACACCTATTTGTACTGCCATGATTCCCTTCCACCGCATTATATAAAAACATGGTCTGCGGCATCAAATTATAATATAATGGCGATAACTGTTGGGCATCCAGTGTATTTGTTAACAAAATTTGTGCATACATTTGGAAAAAAGTTTCATTTTAATCATGCTCATGTTTACACGGAAAAGGTAAAAAAAGTCACTTGTGGGTATTGGCAATAATTGCTGATCACTAATAACTCGTGACAAAATGTGTTGATTCATGTTGTGTTTTTCTGTATTGATTTATAAAATATAATGTATATTATGAGTGCAAGTCATGTAAGTCAAACACAAATTGGTTGTTTATGGAACAATGAGAATTGTTGGCCTTTGATTAAAGACTTTTGTTTTGCAATCAGTAGTGATGACATTTGCTGACATTCAAGATGAATGTTTGCATATTTCTTGAAGGGTTTTCATTAAATCCATTAATAGTTGTGTCAACTTTTATGTTTGACGTGTTGATTATGTTTATGCATGTTGTACCCTTGCACAAAGGCTTACAGGTAGTAGTAATATTACTCATGATGTCACTTGCTTCTTTCTTATATATTGTTTGGTATGGCCAAACATTGAATCTATTTTTTCCCTACCACTTGTGCTATAGGAATACCTGTCAAGTATACTAACTGCAAAGGGCAAAGCAAAAAATGGTGACTTGAAAGAGAAAGGAATGTTTGCAGTTAAATTTCTGCATTCCGCCGTTGCTGTTCTTGGAAATGATGTTCCCGAAAACCTCATCGCAGCAGTGCATGTTTGTTGTCACGGTTACCAGACTGCTAGGGACAGCATTAAATTACAAGATGAACTGACTGTACCAAAACTTGTGTACCATATCTTGAACAAGCTTGTGCAAGAGGTGAGCCAAAAGAAAACGTCTTACTGTGCATACAAACAAAATTCTATATTACATTGCCAGTGTTCACGAATGGTGTTTCAAAGTAACAGGACATTGGGTCCTGTAAGTTTCAGATGTCTGTCTGACCCATTCAAAATTCACAGGACCCATAGAATAAAATTAAAACACACATTTCATATTTAAAATTTCTTATAACTGGCATTGAAATTTTTAACAAACATAATAAGATTTATAAAGGGCAAACAAGTGTCACATGTCACATATAACAACTTCAGTGAAAGTCATTGTGAAATATACAGTCTGACACTGGGGCCGGCGGGTTGTAGACTTCTATCGGACCGTTGTTGGATCTGCCGGATTTGTCAGAGGGTCAGACGCTATTCGTGAACACTGCATTGCATGATTTTTTGTTTTCATTTTTATTCTGTGCCACTAAATGCAACTCAAGAATGCTCTATTTATATTATTTACATGAAACACTAGATAAAATGAGGTGTTGAGTTGTGGGTTTTGGCTAAAAGGTCTGCATCTATTATTTTTACAAGCAAGGTTAGATTGTAACAATCATTCACCATGGTAACAGTAACTCAGCTAAGAAAAATGTTTCCTGTTTCCATTACTGTAATCAGTATGGTTCATTTGCAGTCAGTGATGGTAATGACACATTTTTAATATTTTTTAGTCATATCCTTGGCAAATGGTTGAAAAGTAACTCTTAACATAAGACTAACACTAGGGACAGTTGTTTATCAACCAATTTTTTTTAATGACAGAGTCACATGGACAACCTGCATCAACTTGGAGTGTTCCTGTACAGCTGCCTCCATGGTGTGACAACTGAGACACCTGGTGTTAAACCCATTGTAATGAACACCTACAGTCGACTCTGGAACTCCTCAGTCAAACATGAAACTACCGGCAGCAATCCAGACTCACTTCTTATCACAACCCAGTTGAGATTTCTTGCTATGAAATTCCTCTTTAAGAAGGAAGTAATTGAAGATTCTGATGTGGAAAAAATTGAAATAGCTCTTGGCAGGTACATCCATTTAGCAAACAAATTGAAATTGAAAAAGTCTGCAATTCAGACTGATTTGAGACAAGTTTTATGCATTTTTGTCTCCATGTTAGAAAATGTTTTAACTTTTAACAAGGAAAAGTTTGGTTTGATTGTTATCAAGTCGGTGATTCGAGCTGTGAAGTATCTTTCCCAAAATAAGCTGTTGGCAGATGTGCATTGTCTCCTGGAGGTGGTCAGTGAATCAGGGGAAGACAATCACATGGCTGACACAAGCTTGATCCAAGTTGTGACCAGCATACTGACAGTAGTCAAACA